AGAAGCTGAAGAAAAAGCAAAGACAAAAACGACAGGCCAGGCTGGTACAGTCAGGCAGTCCTAGAGTGCTACAGTCCTGCTACTACTAAGTGCTCGGGCTGAGGGGTGAGCCGTAGAGACACGAACTAACTGACGGCCTCGCAGGTCTTGTGGTTCAAGGGGAAGATCTCCGGGCGCTTCTGCTAGGCCGCTTTAGTCGTCGGGAGCGACTGTGATTCGACAGCCAAGTACGAAGCAAATGGGCGCCCAGCTGATTGGCCGGGCTCCCGGTTCGGTGCTAAGGGCGGCTTGAGAGAGAAAGGCGAGCGAAATCCATCACCACATCGCGCGAACTGGTCCCAGAAGCTTGGGATGGCCGAACGTTCCTAGCTCGCTGACAAGTCGCCGGTGCTATTGTGCTAGTGAGATGGAGATGATGGGACTGGATGGATCGGACCATGTTAAGCTTTCTCCCGGTCTGTGATTCAGGCCACTAGCTTCGGCCTCGAGCTCCCAGAAAACAGGTCACGATGGATAGTCCAGTTGTCGCTCTTTTCCCACTCGGCTGGCAGTACCGTTCGCGTGGTTCGCAACTTGGGGAGGGTCCGAAAACTGGGGGATGACGCGATTCTCTTGCCCTGTCCCAGAAAGTGATGCTTGCTTGGCCATGGAGATCAGAAGCGGAGCCAGAGGGCACACCCAGAACCGCGGTGATGTAGCGGTCGAGATATCAGCGGCGCTATTCTCAAGTCCCTGCCCGGCGCTGAATTCAGGGGACGATGAATACGGACAAGCAGGCGAGCGAGAATTGCCTGTGCACCTAGCAGGTCATCTGAGATTAATGAGAGCCAGAATAAGCAGCTGCCAAAGCAATAGGTGATAGAGGCCGTCCAATATTTGTCAATGCGCATCGCTGCCGTTTTCGTCTGGCAATATCTGGGGGTGGCTTGATCATTCAGCTAGGGTCTTGAGCGAGGATCACGACCCAGCAATGTCGTACAAAGCACAACTACTGAGGCAGACGACATGGACGTCCCAATACCAGACTCCAGCTTCATTTCCAATTAACCTTCTCCCAGCCTCCCCTCCTGACGCACGAAACCGACCAAGAGAAGCCGGCCCTCCCTGCAGTTTGGTTACATAAATATACGATGTAGCGTCTGGGGGCGCTTGTTGCCGTCCTTCTCGTCCATCGCATTCCAATCATGTTGCGATGAAATCTCAACGATCTGGCGCGACTTCTGGATGCATTCATGCGCGCGCATCAGCTACCATGCGGAGCACCACCTCGGGTCTTGGTTTCGAAATGCGATTCTCAGATCCCAGGCAGATTCAGTTTCGTTTGTTCCAGCGCCATTCACGAGCCTGTTCAGATTGAGCTCTGGCAACTCCCGGCGCTTAGTCACTGCTCGTCAAACCTGCACCCGCGATGGAACCGTAGCAACAGCCGCTGGCTGCATGTCGGGAGCAGACGCCGTACGAGGCCGGCCGGGCCATTGCCTCGAGTTATTCTCCAGGCTGCTTTCTGATTGATTGATCTCTGCAGATGGCCGCCAAAGCGACCCGGCTTGCTTTTGATAGGCCGCACACGAGCGCGCTTGTTCCAAGGCGCCAGCACAGCGCTGCTGTCATGCTTTTAATCCGGCCTCTGCTTCGTACTATTTCATGCGGCCGTTCAATGCGGCCAGTGGACGCTACAATGGATGGCAACCAGGGCATTTCGGTCCAGACACGATGCTTCGACCGGTTGAAGCTGCCACCGCTACTACACCCCAGTCTAAGCGCCGCCGCTCTGCATACATGCATGCATGCATGCATGAAAAGAAATGAGAGAAAAAAAATTAAGCCGCCAGGATCCTTCTCGCGCTTCATTGGCGTTATCCGCTAACGAAAGTAGGCGCATCAAAGACCCAGCAACCCAAATGGCGTTGAAACCATTCAATCTGCCTTGCGCCTCGTGCCTGAGACGTAGGAAACATGGCCGAGGTAACATTCCGGTGCTGCTCCCCAATTGTGTTACCTGATACAAAGCCAAAGCTGTGTTGCTCGCAGCTTCATTCAGATAGATGCGAAATCCAGCGTGGCCTCTCGGTCTTGGACTTGGAATCTGCCGTTGGTCGTCGACATGTCCGACCAACATGCATCATAAGCGGCTCCGCCAAAACACCATATTCAAACCGCATCTAGAAAAGCCGGTTTCGTGTGGATCTGCAAAGACCTATAACACGCAGCATCCCAAGCATTCATGCGGCTCTTCATGGTCCATGCACATTCAACCAGTTCGGCCTCGCCCTCGCCCTCGCCCTCGGGCATCGCTGCGTTGTTCGCCTTTGTCGAGACGGTGCATGCACTTCGCTCTGCAGTCTAAAATGAAGATGCAAGCCTCCATCCTTCTCGTCCATCCTCAGAGGAGCGGGCATCAATGCTATTCGCTCCACGAGGACCCCCCCTTTATCATATCCCATTCCTTCCCGCCATGCTCTATCCTCTAGTTGACGGCCACGACATCGTAGCAATATCCATTCTGGCCTAGGCTCATGGCGCGCCTAAGCCTGCGTAACACCACTACAGATATGAGTGGACGCCTTCTCCGTCAACCCATCCGCGTCATTCAGCTTCATGCTTCTCCCATGTCCGTCGGACATTGGCGTGAAAAATTACGTACAGAGGGTGTTGGCCCAGGGCCTTCGAGCTAACGGCCAGAGATCAACTCCCGGATTATGAGATATCGTACGTCGCCGCGTCGGCACATGATGAGGAGAAGACTCCGTCAACAGACGTATTTTTGATGAGTCTTGATACTCCATGGTACAATTCTGGCGAATACATTATGAAACCTAACATACTTAGGGATCCTGCCAACTAACAAAGAAGAGAAGAGAAAAAGAAAAGAAAAACGAACACAGACCACCCCTTTGCCATAACCATGGATCTCCCTGTCGTTGATGGTTGCGCCAGAAGTAGACGAGTTGTGTTGGATAAACCAAACCACCTCTAGCGAAGCGTTCGACCCTTGCAGCAAGTAGGGACTCATCTTTTCGGCCTAACGATGTCGGTGAATCGTTTGCACCAACGTGGCTAGGCCACGGACCTTCAGGGCATCCATGGTGTTTTCTTACTCTGTTCACCCTCCTGTCCGCTGTGTCCTGTCTCCTCTTCACGGTCTTACTCTTACCCGGCCGCGACCACTTAGCCATTGAGAAGTCGCCGTGGCACATCAGGGTGTGAAAACGTATAAACTGGGCCTCCTATGGGGCGTCACCATGCATGTTACCTATAGGAAAGCTTTTGAAAGGTCCGTTGGCTCTCATGGAGAGGCTCGAGCATGGATGTTTTTCTCGTCAATTCGTGTCTCCTAACAACATCAATCCGCACAACAGCATTCCTTCAGCGGCTATGAATCTGATTGAACAATCTCGGCGTCAATGTTGCATGAAGTTTTGTTAATATCCTCTAGGCCGAGCAGTTGAGGTGTCAGTAAACGCTAAGCAGCCTAAATAGACTCACCCCTCCATCACGAGGATGTGAGGCATCGCCTGAGACATTCTCGACGGCGCATAAGTGCCTACTCGGGCATGTGGCAAATTCTTACTTTGATTGCTGAAGAAGAGGGGATGAAATCCTTTGGTTTACACCGCTCTTTGAGCTCGGAGTTGGATTTACTGCACCACATGTCAAATGTGTGAAATGTGATGAGTAGATGAGTTTTACTGATGCCCAGAGTTGGATATGATATGTGCTTGGATGTTTGAACCTCTCCGGCCCCCAAGTAATTGAGTGTCACTGTCCAACTGAGGCTGATCCAAGGAGGCGTACATCGGCGTTCCAGGAGAATAGAAAATAGAGAGGGGAGAGTGAGAGGCAGCGTGTGAGACAAGGGGGTAGGATATCGTATTGCCAGCAAGAGATGGACAAAGCCAAAACACAGCGAGTGCTATCAAGGTGACATTTTCTTCGTATCTGGGCAGTATCTTCATGTTTGTCATACATTGAAAGGGAAATAGCGTCAACATATTTCTCTATTAATAGTAATTTGTCTCAATGTCGAGCTAACAGGTCCATGTGAGTTCCATGATCTGGCCCGTCTTGGGGGCGGAGACTGTGCCACATGATATCCTCCAGCTCCCTTACATAGCCCGTAGTGCATGTATCTACTTCATGCTGGAAAGGCTGCTTTGGTGCCAGGTAGGCGCTAGGTACCAGTACATGTGCAGTCCGATGGTATTGTATTTCAGTTACGGGAACAGAAGCACCCCCCCTATTCACTCATCTCATCCGCTCAGTGCCACTGCTTCATCATACATTAAGCAAAGCACCTGTGGGTATCAAGAGTTGTTGAGAGGGAAGCACTCTAGAATATATGACTTGTACCGTGTTACTTTAGAGGGATGGTTCATTTTGTCGGTTTGCCGAGTTCGTGGTGTCATATTAGTAGGACCTTGCCAAACGTGTAAGCTGAGACAGACTCACAAACACTTACGCTACCATATGAAACATTCTACAATCCAACTTTGCCAGCAGGAGAAGGTCAAAAGAATTTACTTGTGTCATTCAAGAGGGGGGGGAGGAGATGTGGTTTCGTTATCGTCGTCATTCACTCAGGAGGCGTGCTATGTCGGGAGTAAGAAGCTTGGTTGTTGTCAGTACTACATATCGCGCTACCATTCGAGCTTTAGGAGTAACGAGCACACAGTTGAGAATACTATACCAATGTTGGATTCTCACATGATGGGGGTTTTTTTTTATGTTACCTGGATCTAAAGGAAGAGTCGCGGATGCTCTCGATGGAGTAACCATGAGGTGAGACATTTCGACTGCAATTTACGAGATGGTTTGAGGTACTCATATATGTGATTTGGAGTTTTTTGTTGAAGGATATCAATGCCCCTCTTTATAATCATGCACGCTGAATTACCATAGTCTTCATCTCTGTGGATATTTCATTTCCATTCTCCGTCGCAGCTGCAATCATGCATCTCTGGAAGCCACTTGCTTTCTTGGTGGCGATGGCTATGCCAATCATGTCTGAAACAAATGTAAGTTCTATATCTATGCCTTTTGCACTGTAATATTTGCAACTACAGCTGCTAACAAGATGTTAGGTATGGCTGTACGGCTTACCCAATTACCAGGGGGCCGTCTACGAATACGATGGCAGTCAATATGGATGCAAAACAGTTGGTGAAGGAGTGTACGTGCTGTGCTCTTTGACATATTTTTACAAGAAGAGGAATTGACCAAAGGGAAGGTATGCGAATGTACAGTCGGTAAAGATTGTGCATTTTGAACCATATCCTTGTTTTGTTTGTTCCTTATTCTAGTAAGTTGCCTTTCTTCCGGTGCATATACATCTCGCGGTTCCTCTCTTGGCTATGCTAACTCTATATGATCCCCAAGCACCAACGATTGCCAGCTGGCATCGAAGCTATTTAATATTTCTGCAGATGGCCGAGATTTACCTCTTGCGCCCAATTTCGGTGTCCGTTCGATCGAGTGTGAAACCTGGGAGCCATAAACCAAGAGATATTAGAGCAAGCGGGAAGGTGATTCATTAAGGATTCGATTGTTTCTCTTCAGTTTCACCCCATTAGTTTTTCATCATTGGTACACATTCTGAAAATCTGTATGGTTCTCCTGCCTCCTACGGACAAGGCCATCTCGGGGTTGTGAGTGTCTTGCCGCCTCCTCTCATTTATTGGCCTAAATTGAGGCTGAATAAGTTGTAATGTTGATTACATGATCAATCAATTAAGCTCGACAACAAGGTGAAAGGGGCTGATTTAGAGCAACCAACGCGCATAAGCTACACACGGCAGTCGGGGACCCTTGAACGCGGGAAGTAGTCAATGTGGTGGTAGCATTACGGAGCCCTCCATGTTGCTACAGCCATTGAGATGATTGCAAGGCGCGTGGGATCACGTTGACAAACACCAATCGGAATACATGAGCGATCAGCGGACGGGGATGGTGGAGATGAGATCATATATACGGAGTAGAGTGAAGGGTTGTTGTGATGAGAGTGCATGTGAAATACATACACCAGGCTTTGGGTGGTACTCGGATCTGTTTTGTTCACCTTGCGCGTGTAAATTCCAATATACGGGGACGTTTTCATTGTGAATACGGGACATTTTCACTGCTCCTCATAACCTGGACCGTCTGAGTACGAATATTCCATTTCTCTTCGGTGGACTGCTGGTGAGGTAGTGATCAGCGTCTCTTGTCTGCGCTTTCGTCACCGAGCCTACCCTGCAATACATCTCAGCCCTGGGTCAATAGCATTGCTTGTACCCTGTACTCGTACTTGGATGTCTTGGAATCTGCATGTTTAGGTCCTGCCCGGATGCGCCACCATGCGAGGGTCATACCAGTTGACCAGGTATAGGCAGACAAGCTGGCAAGCTGGACATGAGAGTTGGACTGATGCAGCATCCATGTCAGGTGATGCAATGTACCAGGTCCAGCCCTTCGGAGGATGCGAAATGACCACAAGTATTGGTCATCGCCTATAGTTAATCCATCCTTACCTATAGTATATTATACCCAAGGTACTGTATTGCGCTTGTACTCGTATGTCGTTCGTAATATAGACTTTGATTCGGTACGATACGAGTTATGCTCTGATGTGTATTCGTATACGAGATGGTTTACATGATGTCGTGGGCACTAAATCTGGGCATTACGAGTACTCGAACTCGAACTCCGATAAACACGCAAATAGACTGGGCACAAGCAAACGGCAAACAAACGCAATTGGCCCTGGTTATCGCCGGGACCGAGGGCCAAAACAGGGCCATAAGCCGAAATCCTACAGCCCCCAGTGTCCACTCAAGCGGGCCAAAAATGCCGCCCTCGAATTTTAGCCACTCAGCTGGGCTGTACCGTACGATGGGCCTCATGATTTGCTGCCTGGTCACACGGACGGCCCCCACTGATTCGATAAAAAAGACAAACAAGAAACAACCTACCAAGGGTGAATACGTAAGACGGCTTTTCGCCCAACGATTGGAGAAGAAAATAAAAAATAAAATAAAATTAAAATAAAAAATAAAAAATTCACCAAAAATAAAATTGGGCATCTTGACCAAACGCCTCTGTGACAAGGAATCGCGGCCTTGTTTTAGACCCTGTCCTGTGTGACTCCGAGATTGGTTGACTGGCCTTGTGGGCTCTGTCACATCCACTGAAATTGCTGAAATGGCCCTGCGAGGATAGAATGCGACATCATCACAAGGTACTGTCAAAACGAGGCTGCAGATGCCGCCGAAATGGCCCTCCAACAGCGCCAAGCATGAGCGCCTGGCAACTTGTTGTGCTTCATTGGGCACACCGACTTTTGGGCCAGAATCTGGGAGCAAAACTTGTTTTTTCAGGCGCGTTTTCGTCACACCCAAGGGCCTTTCGTCGCATCACGTGCCCGCTGACATTGCGTTGTGCTGCTCTATTTTGTTTTGTTCTGCCATTGCTCTTTGTACCAGGCCTACGTACTATGTACCTGTACATGCTCTCGGGCGAGTAGACTTCAGTGCTATACTGCAAGCCTCAAAAAAAGGGTCATGGCCCAAAACACAATGCACGCCACATTCTTGTTGCTGTTTGTTGCCTGACATGCACAGTAGCGGGTTGAAGCCATCATGCCTTATCTCACCTATCAAACAGCTGTAAACAAAGGATGCTCTCTCTTTGCAGCCTGGCCATCTGCATGGATACCTAGGCGATAGGCACAGGCACCCTAGGACTATTGCTCAACAGTATTCGTACCCGGAGCCTCATCGCCCTCGTGGTTCGCGGCTGTTTGACTTATATTGGCCGTGTCTTGTTGTTTTCCTTTTTTTCAGCCGCACTTACGAGATGCATTTTGCGCCCGCTTGCGTTGCCCCCTTGTTGTCACCGCTTATTTTCCCCAAGTGTATCCAATACGCAGTGAGTTTGGCACACTGCACGGCACGCAGTAGGGAGATGCAGGTATAGAGTACTTGCATTGGCATGCCCTGATAAGACGCTGGCCGGTTTCAATCACTTCGTCTCCACGGAGCCTTTTCGTAAATAAGACATGCCACAAGACGTAGGTAATGTCCGAGCCATCCTTTATTGATGGGCGCGAAACGACCTGGGGGCCTGATTCATGTCCCCAGCAGGGCTGGAAGTCCGGGGGGGATGGATGGATATGGATTGACAGCTCACACGGAGCGCCCAAACCAGCCGCGCGAGAGAAGGGAAGACGATCTTTCCGAAGGCGGGGGAGATGAGAGAGGATGCTGCTCCGACAGATGGTGAGCATGGGCAGCTCTAGCTATATCCGTGGGATGCTAGCAGCCCCCATGCCCATGGAAATGGGGGTCTCTGTTTGCTCCCACGATGCCGCGTCTGGGCTTGACATGATGTGGTGTTGTTATCTATCATTCGTGCCGTGAGGTACATAAGATGGGTGGCAATTCAGCACCCGTGCGGCAGAGCGGAACGACGGGAAGAAGCGGAAACAGAGAGCCTTCTTTGACGAAGACGAGGTCCGAATATAGAACTCGTACTCGAAACACAGGAGTCGAGAAAGGCTTGTGCGTGCATGCAGTAATACCGAAGGTACCTAGTGGTATCACTTCGTGCCAGACAGAGCTGCCAAACACCCGCTGCTATTGGGTACCAACGACGGACGACCTAAGGCTCCCAAGGCAGGGTATCTTGGGCAGGACGCACACAAGGATTACATTTCCTCTAATAGACTTTATCAATGCTTTCGACGTGCATGGGCAGGGGAGACAACATGACGCCGGGCTGCAGATGACCGCTGCAACGGCATGAGACCTGCTAAAGATTCGTAGTGCTACAAGTGCCCTGTACGAAGCATCCAGTAAAAACACGTGCCTCGTCTCAACACGGCATGGGCCAAGGTTTGCTCTAAATCGAGGTACTGGTACCTGCTAAGGCACTGAGCGGCGTCTTGTCCTCGGGTACAAGGTTTCAGTACGAGTATACATACGTGCCGTGGTGCTCGTACTGGTTACCCACGCCGCGATCAATGATACAAACAAGCCCCCAGCATCGTCCGGCAGTGGCAAGGTCATGACGGTCGGGCTCAGGTTCCCAGTACGAGCGGCTCCGTGCCGAAGCGGACAACGGGTTGGGTCAACAACAGGGCAAAAGCATCGCAGAGCGCTAGCAGGCATCAAACAACAGGCGAAAGGAAAAAATGATGAAAAAAAAAAGAGCGCCACACTGGCCCGTGCGTCGTCGCATGGACCGCCGGCCAATCACAGCGCAGGCGCCAACAGCCAGCCACCAGCAAGGCCCCACCCTAGGGCTGAATCAGCCAGTCACAAGTGTTAAAAGACACCTGGCCCCCCGCCCCTCAAATCATATCTTCGCATTTTCCCTCGTCCTCTTTCGCGAGCCTTGCCATCTTCCCTCAACCAATCAATCCGCCGTTGCGCGCCCTGCCGCCCTGCCCTGTCCAACGAACGAGCAGCGCAAAAGCAAGCCCGACCAAAGGGCAAAAAAAGGGCCCTTCCCGCGCTCACGCGTGCAATCAGATTCGTCCGCAAGGGAACAAACGAAACACTTGCTCTGCGTCGCTGGCCATTCACAGCGACTCGACTATCTCGTCCCGATCCGCTTGTCCAAGCCGCGCGCCAGTGAGCGCAAACCTTGAGCCACGCCGGTTCCGGTTTTTTCTGACGAGAGCACACAGCACACCTCGTCCGGTGCCTTGCGCGCTTGCTTGCTTGCTTTGCCTGCTGCGACGTCAGCGCCTGAAAGGATCTGAAGCTGCAGCTGTTTGGACGTTGCCAGTTCACAGCAGCTATTTTTGTCGCCCAGAGCATCGCTTTACACGGCTCTTTACCAGCCCCCCAAGACCTGTCATTTTTCTCTCATTGCATTGCATTGCATTGCGTTGAATATTGTCTGGCGTATTTGTTATACTATTTTTTTTTCTTTGGCTCTTCTCGACTCCGCTGCCCTCGGAATTTCGGAGCCCCTCAGTCTCGGCGCAGTGCCACAGCTCCCAAAGCAGAAGCGCATCGCATCCAAAGGCATCAATAGCTTCCTCTTCCCCCCACTCTATCGCGGTTCGCTGCGACGTCAGCATTCAACGGCTGCTGCTTTGCCAGAATCAGCCCGAAACAAGGCGCGCACAGGCACCCAGGGCTCACCTAAAAATTCAGCCTGCCCGCCAGCAAATCAGCTTCCCGCACTGGCGTAGCTCTTCATCATCGATATCGCAAGCTCGCAACGCCAGAGGCCTATCATCGTCGCCAGCCTCAACCTCGCTCTCTCCATTGGCGCAACACGCCATCAGGTGACAGCGCGCATCTGCAGTGCCCATTTCTCAATTATCCGAGCCTTCAATCAGAGCTCTGCACGCCTCTGTCGATTCCCAAAAGCTGGGAATAGGCCCAACGCAAATCACCGCCAGGTACCTCATACCTTGTCTGTACGCGCCCTCGTTGTGGCTGCGTATAAGAGGTACGTAGTATTTCTTTCGTTTCTTTTTCTTTTTTATTCCCTTGATGCCGTCATGGTCAATCTCCGTCACCCCGGCTCTTCTCTACCTGCTCTATTCATCTATTCAAGGCCCTTGTTTTCTCTTTTCGGCCGCACGACTCGCCCTGTTGGGATTGGAGCTGCTTTGCTTGTTGCGTTGCTTTTGCCTTGCGTTGCTTTGCCCTGCCTTTTGTACTGGTCCCCCGTCTTTGTTGCATTGCTTTCATGAGCATCTCCCCTCTTTTTTAATACCCTTCGGTTCTTTTTGTTTGTTTCTTTATTCGTATTACATCCTTTCAAGGCATATACGAGACATTGCCTCTCACTCTTCTATTTACACCGACTCTTCCTACCTGCTCAGCCCAGCTCAGCCCAGCCCAGTCCACCGAGTCTCACAGCCCATATTCTCACAGCCTCTTTTTTTTTTCGTTTTCACCCTGACAGCTGTTACATCACCTTCACCCTTGCTGGGCTGAGTACGTTCGGCCAACTTTTCCTTGCCTCTCTTGTACCCTCTGCCCCCAAATCTGCCCTGTCGTCACCTGTTGAATCGAGCTCCGCAACACGTCCGTTTGGGTGCGCTAGAAGACTCGAGTTTTACCTGCCCGATTGCCTCACTCGCCTCCCTCGTCCCGTCCCTCCCTCCCACACACGATTGCCAACCTCGGCCAAAAGGTCGTTTTCTCTGACCGGACACGGCCAACACTCACCACCAGCCTGATCCCCCACCTCATGGCGTGTCTTAGTCTCCATGCCCAACTCTCCGCTTTGCCATTCGGATGAGACAATCTAAATCCCTTGGCTCTGAGGCCTCGAGAGCCCTTTTCCTGCCGTCCTCAAGCGTGCACACTGCATCGCATTAGGAGATGTGAATCTCATGCCGCTTATCTGGATCGGCACGGTCTCGTCGGCCTCCCCTCGACGGCGCCGGCTTGGGCTCTCATTTGTCTCTGCCAAACTTGTGTGCCGACGTGTCGGCAACAGTTGGGGGCTTTGTTGTGGGCTCCGTTGGCCTGGGTGGATCTGGCTGCATATTCCGTCATGCATGAGCTACAACTATGCCAACGCATCACAAGTGTGGCTCCCTGGTGCTGGTGGCTCGCACCCCTGTCCCATCCTTGCCTGGATACCTCTGGCCGTCTCACCATTCGCAGCGTCTCGCCTATATACAACTGAGCTAACGCCTGTGGTTGGATAGATCTTTGTTAATCCTCGATTGAGAAGTTCTGGGGAAGTGGAAAAGGCGACTGCTCTGTTTCGTCCACTGCTCTCCATCCCGTACCTTGTCGCAACGACTTGGGAGTAAGAACAAGACCTCTCTCTCTCTCATTCTTCACGTGGCTGCTTCTCGCCCGGCGACTCAGCCACCCTCCACTCTGCCCCGCGGCTACATCTTTGCCTGCAGACGCCTTGCGGCTTTATGAGCCACGTACTTGGCACCATCCCACCAACCTGCCAGCTCACCAACGCATGTCTGGTAAACTTGGGTGCCTGAACATTGCACGCTTCTCTTGCGATTACCCAAGCATCGAATCGCCAGCTTCCCTGCCAGACGTGCCCAACCTATACCTAAGCGGCCGGCGCGCATTTTAAACCTCTTCCAATACAGAAATTAAGGGAAAACAAAAAAACGAAGAAAATCAAAACGAACTATTTTCCTAGCACGATTTTTTTTATTAGTTCTTTCATCTTCGGCTATTCGTCATTGGGCTTTTCGCGGTCCTCGTTGTAAGCAGTCGTCTAACGTTGCGCTGTTGATATTATTCGTCCCGGATCTCCTAGCTTCAAGTTTCGGACTTGTGATAGGGCGAACCGCGATAGCGCCACCCCACATTTTGGCTCGCGACATCTTCGCGACACCAGCTTTGGTCCTTGTCCTTCTTGGAGGATGATGGAATACGCGCAATATCCACAACAGCAACACAATTCTCACGCAGGTTACGCGAACACTGCCGCCGGCGCAAGTATCACCTCGCCCACAAGCCACGGCATCACCCAGCACGCAGTGCAATCCCCCATTATCGCATCGCAACAACAACAATCACAACACCAGCCCGGTCAGGCTCCAGCTCACGGCATGTATCAACCACAGTATGGCGTGCCTCAACCCAGCATGCAGCCGGTTCCCTATGGCATGCCCGGCATCCAGGCTGCCGCAATGGCCGCCACGGCCGCCGCATCGGGATCCAGCTACCCTTACATGCACCCTGATCCGAGCATGCCTCATACGTCCCCGCGAATGCCCAATGCTAAGAAAGATGGCCGGCCGTCTCCTCGCATGAACAGCATTTCTCAGATCCCCGGCCGCCGTATGAGCCAAGTCACCAGCCCGGGTGTACCGAGCGCCCCGGGCATGATGAGCCACGGCGGACCCCGGCCCCCGCCCATGCCTCCCGCCCCTGCCATGCAGCACCCACAATCTCCCGAGATGCCTGCTGGCGCTGTCGAAGAATCCCCCCTATATGTCAATGCGAAGCAGTTCCACCGAATCCTCAAGCGACGCGTCGCCCGCCAGCGCCTCGAAGAGCAGCTGAGGCTGACTTCCAAGGGACGAAAGCCGTACCTCCACGAGTCTAGACACAACCATGCAATGCGCCGACCTCGTGGACCCGGCGGTCGCTTCTTGACCGCCGAAGAGGTGGCCGCTATGGAATCCAAGGGAGGGCTAGATGGCGAGGGCAAGAGCACGGACGATGTCTCACCCTCAAAGTCCTCTGAAGCTTCAAGTGGGAAGCGCAAGTCGGAATCTGGACCCTCAACTTCGAGCAAGAAGCCCAAAACGCAAACTGAAAGTGCCGAAGGGAACCCAGAAGACGACAGTTAATAACTGATTTTGTCTTTTCTGCTTCTCTTTCACTCTTTTTTTAAAGAGTATGCTCCAATACCTTGGACGGTGCAAATGGGCATTCTCTTTTTCTTTCTTTCTCTTTACTATAATGAGGACATGATGACAGGGACTTTGAAGACGGATGCGTCTTTGCTATCATTCTCAGTTGAGGCATCGAATGGGATGGGGAGTTTTCTTTGATGGTTTTTTTTTTATAACGGCCGACAAATGGTATGTGATCTCAGAATATTCTCCGATTCGAGAGACTCAGCATATCCCGCCGTCTACATAGGCTCTTCCGCTCCATTATTCGGTAACCTTGAAACTGATAATGTTGAAGACGGATCTACCTTGATCTGGCTATGAGCTGAGTCTCGCCACGGTTGGATATGAGACTCCAGACGGCTGAAAGGGGGGAACTGGTTGGGCGGGCAGAATGCATGGATGACTCGACACGATGGATACCCCTTATTGTTTTCTTCTTGCCACACACTTTTTTTTCTTATGTTTATTGACTTTCTCTACTCACAACGGAATGTTCGAAAGAGTTGAACCTTTGGAGGAATTTGGTCTGGCTACCATGGAGATGCATTAAGGCAATATAGCATTTTTCTTCTTCTTCTTTTACTTTTTTTACTTTTTCTCTTTTCTCCTTTTTATTCTTTCCCTTTTTATTCTTTTCTTCTTTCTTTTTTTTTTTGCATCAGCTGGTATAAAATAACCGACAAAGCATAAAAAAAGAGAATGGGACAGGGAAACAAAGAAGCAATTTAAAAAACAGGACTAGGCTGTGTGCAGGACACAGATAGACATCAGCATTGTTTGAACAACAAAGGAGAAGTGTCTGGACACTTGGAGAAGGGGGTGACGAAAGATTACGTAGTTTGTGGATATAGAGGTGAAGGTGTCGTCCGTCACCGGATATGACCAGGGCTTTCCTAGCTTTCAAATTGAAGATATCATTTTGATATGTAACAATAATAGTATCCAATAAGCGTGATGCGATGTATTAGCATGTAGACTTTGTTGTTTATAAGTTGAAATACTCGAGCTAGATCGTAGTTGGGACATTGGCGTGTGATTTGCCTGCTAGACTTGTCGGGATGCATTGGTACCTGCTCGTACCTTAGTTGAACATGGCACCCATACAGGTACAAAGCAGCAGTTCTAATTTGTGCGGTAGTATCTACGGGATAGTTACTTTTTTTCTACCTGATTGGGCGAGCATCACTCACCAAGCTAGTAGGCATTGCCAACTTACATGCTGTCCAATGGGGAGGAATGACACCAGTGCCCTGGTAGAGATCTGGGCAAGGGAGAGGGAAGAGGGGGGGAGGAGCCTTGTACATAGTAGTATATCGGGGGTGGCTGAAATCTGGGGTCGGGAGCTGCTAACCGCCGAGCCTCGGTACGTCAGACACTGGCCCGGTTGCCTCGTTTTCTTTCAATCCGAGGACAAGATGAAAAGCTGCCCTTTTCTCCCCTCATCTTCCCGCGATTTTTTGATCTGGAGCTGCGAATTCTATCCTGATTAGACCAACTGCCGCGATACCTTACGCCCCCGGAGTTGCGTCTTCTTTTTTGCGATACTTTGGTCACTGGACGTGACGCTGAGAGCACACGCGATTGCAGTAGCCATTGGACGACAGACCATTGACAATGGCGGGCGCAGTGCGGCAACCGATTGACGAAAAGGCGTTTGCAAAGTTCATTGACGAGAATGTGCCGGTCATCAAGACGCCGATCGATCTGAAGCAGGTTCGTTTGACATGATTCCCACTCGCGGACGCAGGCATGGGAGCAGCAGAGCTAACCGGTTGCTCGCCATAGTTCGGCTTCGGACAATCCAACCCTACATACCAGATCACCGACGCAACCGGCAAACGCTATGTCATGCGCAAGAAGCCGCCGGGGAAGCTGCTGTCCAAGACGGCGCACAAGGTGGAGCGCGAATACCGGGCGTTGCACGCCCTCGAGACGACCGACGTGGCGGTGCCCAAGACGTATTGCCTGTGCGAGGATGACTCGGTCATCGGCACGCCCTTCTACATTATGGAGTTTCTCGACGGACGCATCTTTGAGGACTTTCTGATGCCCGGCGTCAGCTCGGCCGACCGGACGGCGCTGTGGAAGGAGGCGATCCAGACCCTGGCGCGGCTGCACGCCGTCGACGTGGCCAAGGTCGGGCTGGACAAGTTTGGCAAGGCGAACGGTTTCTATAGCAGACAGACGCAGACGTGGGCGACAATTTGCACCAGCCAGTCCAAGGCGGTCGATATCGAGACCAAGGAGCCCGTGGGACAGCTGCCGCATTTCGACGAGCTGGTGGGCTTCTTCAAAGATGAGAGGCTGCAGCCCAAGGATAGGGCGACGCTGGTGCATGGAGACTTTAAGATTGACAACTTGGTCTTTCATAAGACGGAGCCTCGGGTGATTGGCATCCTGGAGTGAGTTTTTTTGTTCTTGTTTCACGTCACTGATGCACATATGGGCTAACAGATGCTATGTAGCTGGGAAATGTCTACGATAGGCCACCCCCTCTCCGACGTCTGCAACTTCATCACGCAGTTCTACCTCGCCCGCTCGCCCGGCGCCTCGGCGTACAGCGACAGCGCACAGTTTTTGCCCGGCAAGACGCCTGGACTGCCCCAACCAGACCAGATTCTGCAGTGGTACACCGAGATTTCGGGCTACGACCCGCGGCCAGAGCTCAGCTGGGGCGCTGCCTTTAACATCTTTAAGCTGGCGGGCGTGTGTCAGGGCATCGCGGCGCGGTATGCAGCTCGGCAGGCCAGCAGCGCAAAGGCGAAGATGTACATTGGGACGAGGGTTCCGTTGGCCAACTTTGCGTGGGAGTTGGCTCAGGAGGCGCGGGATTCGAAGGCGAGAGAGTCTAAGTTGTAAGAGGCTGGGGTTTGGATATGTACCTAGATAAGCGGTGTGTTTGGTTGGTATCATCGCTGGAGATGGGGGCCTAGAATGCGTTTATTTATTCAAATAGAGTAAATTTCGCTTTGATACATTATTTGAACAGATGAGCGAGCTTGGGATATGATTGATGCCAGAGAGGTGTTGTAATGACTTGGACGGGCATCAAGGTGAAGCATGGGTTGCGTCTCTGGTGCAGCACACTAGCAGTTATAGCACGAATTGACGTAAATATAGCAGCGAATTATCAGTGAAGCTTGGGAATAAGGCGAAAAAAACAAAACCCCCCCCAAAAAAAAACCCAATTCAACAGGGGGCTTTCTGGCGGCAAATGTGTACTTACTAGTAATATCAGCAGGGTCCCCAACTTGCAGCAAAAATCCATCGGCACCTGATCGACCCAAGACAATCGGTTCGTCGAATCGAGACGGCGTTTTGGCATCGTGGGGGCGCGTCCAATCAGGCGCGTGGCGATGCCCACAAACTGGTGCCCAGCGGGAAGGCCATGACGCCAAGGGGGGTTTTGGCAGACGCTTTGGGGAATTGGGTATTTTTCTTCTTTTTTCCTTTCTGCTGTATTGGAGCCTTCAAGGACTATTTGCAGATTAGAGCAAAGTTGCTTTTATTTTATAATTTATTTTATTTGTTCTTATTCTTCTCTTTTACACAGTTGTTTCACTCAGGCTGCAGACACAGTCTCTCTCCCTTATAAATACGAGTACACCTCCTTGTATCAGCCACCATCGTCATCATCACTACAGTACCTTTACTTGCAGCACCCACCCGCAAAACCTCACCCTTTCAAACCTCCAATTCCCCCTAAAGCCTCGCCATTCTCGCCATTCTCCCATGGCAGAACGACGCAGGCGGCTTAACGTCCCTGTTGCGCCCGACGAGCGGCGGCCACTGCTCAGCAGGCTGTCGACGGAGCACGAAAATGGCGAGCACGTCTTCAGCTGCCGCACGAACCCGCACAGCGACCTGCCCGTGTACACAAACATTCACCGTATCCGGCGCGACATTGTCAGCGTCGTTGAGGATTATCTGACGCTGGAGCAGCTGCGGGACGTCAAGATCAATGTCACGGTTATTCGGCCGCTGGTCGACAAGTTTTATGAGCTGGGAGATGTTTCCATTGGTACGCCGTCTTTCATTCCTTTCTATCAGGGTTGCAATGTTGTGTTTGATATCAATTGGCTTCCTTTTGATGGCTTGATTAAGAAAGAACAAGAATAATAAAAAAGAGTGAGAATTAGAGTGCTAACCTACCTGCAGTATACTGCTTGCTGGTCAACAGAGCCCAATTTCTAGACGAAGAGTCGCGGTCCACCAACCGCCAAAACGTCAACTGGACTCGCGCCACGCTTTGTGAACTCATTGCAACACGTATCCTGCGCCGCTTTGGCGAGGATCACGACAGCGACCACGACGGGTTGCTGCTACTGGCCCATATCCTCGTTGCCGGCTTCGAGCCCTTCCAGCATGCGCCGGCGCACGTTCGAGCAGAGGCCGAGGACAAGGCCTGGTGGACAACGCACCGCACACTGCCAGCGCTCGAGGTCGCCATCTTGACCGAGAGCAGGCATTTTCTTAGCTCAACGACGTGCCAGAGGGTCGTGTCGGCCATCTACGAGGGCCGCGTGATATACACGCCGTCGACGTCGTGGGACATCATCCCGGACCATTACAAGCTGAAGCCCATTTCGCTCTACGAACCGCGCGAGTCGCCGCTGCTGAACCAGTACCGGCTGATTGTGCCGCGGACGCGCAACTATCTCGAGGCTATCCAGTTTACCATCTTGCTTGGGCTGTATGTCGCCGTCATGATTATGCGGAGGCAAGGCGAGATTCTGTATCTGGAGATTGCGTTTGCGATCTATGCGTTTGGGTGGTGTTTGGATCAGTTTGCGACGATTCTGGCCCACGGATGGTGAGCGCACTCCCCTTGCCTGTTTATTTTCTTTCCAAGACATACCAGAACTGACGTGTTGAATCATAGGAACGTGTACACGCAGAATCTATGGTCTTTCCTTGACGTCACCTTCATTTTCCTTTTCGTCATCTACAGTGGCCTTCGCCTGTACGGCGTGTGGACTGGATTACTAGGGCCCACGGAGCAGGCCTTTGATGTTTTGGCGCTCGCAGCACCTGTCCTGGTCCCTCGCCTAGCGTTTAACTGGTTGTCTGACAACTTGGTCTTCTTATCTCTGAGATCCATGATGGCCGACTTTTTCCTGCTCACTGCGCTTTCGGCGTGGTGCTTTTTTGGATTCTTGCTATCTCTGCTGTGGCTGGGACAGGGAGCCCATCCGCTGCTGTAAGTTATCCAACCCCCCCCCCTTGGATGTTATATGCCGGTATTATGAGCTGATGGATTGCTTGCTTATTTAGTACCATTTCGAAATGGATGATATACATCTGGTTTGGACTTGATGGCACTGGAATTCACCGATCGGTAAGCTTTATTCTCAATGAGGATAGGACGGTAGGAAGTCTTGTACTGACATGTTTTCGCTCCATAGGTGGAATTCCACTGGTTGCTGGGACCCGTTGTCATGATCACATTTGCTTTCCTTGGCAACACTCTCTTCCTTACTATCCTCGTCTCCATGCTGTCGAACACTTTTAGCAACATCTCGTCCAACGCTACAGCCGAAATACACTTCCGAAAAGCTGTCCTCACACTTGAAGGAGTCAAGGCAGATGCTGTTTTCGCTTATCAGCCCCCCTTCAACCTCCTTGCCGTATTCCTTCTTTTGCCGCTCAAATTCGTCGTCAGCCCGCGATGGTTCCATAAAATCCATGTCGCTACTGTTCGTTTGGTCAACCTTCCCCTATTACTCTTCATCGCCGTCGCTGAGCGCCGCCTACTCTGGCCGGCGAAGAGCTCCGAAGGAGGAACTGTCAGCTCGCTGGCTCAGAAATGGTTCTGGCAAAGGTGGCAGCTCTCAGCATATCAGTACATCCGCGCGGTGTTTGATGTGCCACCTCCGGATGATGTATATGATGACATTGCCGTGGATGATGACCTGACGCATCACCTCATTCGGAGGCAATACACCCGGCAGGAATCTCATGACACGGTGAGGAAGGCGTCGCGCCGAGATTCCATGTTTGAAATCCCGCATAAGCTGCGGGGATCACTCACGGAAGCTGGTGAAGATTATGCAGAGGTGGCAAGCAGACTGGCCGCCATGGAGAAGGCCATGAACCGGATGGAGGATATGCTCTCGAAGCTTCTTCCACAGGATGAGAGTGAGATTGGGGAGAGCGACACACTGCCCCCGGGCGATGGTATTACTCTGGAGTCGTCTTTCAAGGGACGAGAGACAAACTTTTGAAGCTTTGGGACATTGCGAGAGCGTTTAGAATAGCGGGCTATGCATGGATTTTCGACATTTGGCATGAGTATTTGGCGTTGACTTGACATTTGTTGCATTGAATATCGGAGTGTTGGCAAGAGGCAAAATAGGTATACACATACTCAGTTTGAATCTTTGAGATATACAACCCCTTACAATTATCTGTCTACGTTTTATTGATGTTTGTCCTTGTGAAAGTGCCAGAGTGCATCACTGCATTTTGACGTTTGGTTTCGACTGGCTAGATTCACTGCCGGCTGCACACGGTCTGTCCCTTTACCCGAGATTTCACTTTTTCGAACTGCTGAAAAGTGATTTCCGTTCTTTCATTATCATTCTTATCCCGCTGTATGGGCCTATTGGGTTGTTATCACATCACACAGGTCCGGGTTCAAGAGTTTGACTCCAACCGCCCAAGCCGAAGACTAGAAACGCGGAATCCAATAAAAACCAACTCGACCGCGCATACAAATAAATCGGCACACAGCATATATTACCACTCATAAGAAAAAATACGAAGAATCAAATTGTCAAAAAACAAAGGGCGGAAAGAAATACCATGTGCACCGTCACATTCTTCCAACAAAAATCATGCAAACACACCTGGGCCATCATCTCAACCCCCTGCGGGCCATACATGAACTTCGACACATGCCCGAGCTTCTGCGGCAGCGGCATCAAAAAGACGCCTAGTTTCTACAAGACGAAGAGCAGGCCGTGTCCGCGATGCGATTTGGGCGGGCTGTATGATCGGCGGGCTGTGCGGATGGTGGAGAGGATGGGATGGGGGATGCACTGGGGTTTGGATCCTGAGGGAGGGGATTGGGCGGTTGAGGTGAGGATGGGGGAGACGAGAGGGTGTGTGATTTTGTGATTTTGAAGAGGGCTGGGTATTGATGAGAAGGGGGTTGTGGAAAATGAAGCTGGAGTTGGGTGGTGAGATTTGGGTTTGTGGTGTTTTTAGGAGGGCGGGTATTTTGGTGGCTTATGGAGGTTGAGCCACATCTTGAGAAGAGCAATTGGGCAAGCTTGATTTAAAGAATACCACGACTTGTTACCAATTTAATGTTTCCATTCATCTAGATAAATAATGAAGTAAAATATATATATTAATGATCATATATATTCGCTTCATCTCTCATGACATCACGTGGCCCCACCATTGGCTATTCTATCAATCAACTTTCTTCAACCTACCTAAAAAAACCTTCATGAAGCTCTCACCATCCCAATCTCATATAACAAACAAACTCATCAATTCCACCCTCTCATCAAGCAAAAGAACAATGCTTCCCACACCAGATACTTCCCACGTCCCCTACGAGCGTGTCTACGAACCCGCCGAAGACTCGTTCCTCCTCCTCGACACCCTCTCATCGTCCTCCGAGACGCAGTTCCTCCACGACACATTCTCATCTCCCAAGCCCACCATCCCCTTTGTCGTCGAGCTCGGCACCGGATCCGGCGTCGTCCTCGCCTTCATCACGGCCCATGCAAAGACCCTCTTCGGCACGTCCCAGATCCTCACTGCCGGCGTCGACATGAACGCCTTTGCCTGCCGCGCAACAATCACCACCGTAGCAAAAGCACAAGCCGATGCCGCTGCGGAAAGCAACAGCAACAGCAGCGAAACCACTCACGGCCTGTACCTGGGCTCCGTCATGGGCGATCTCGCCGCTCCCCTGAGGAGCCACTCCGTCGACGTGCTCGTCTTCAACCCGCCGTACGTGCCCACGTCGGAAATGCCCTCGCGGCCAGAGACCTTCAGGGAAGACTTTTCGCCCAAGACGACGTTTGACGATGATTCCTACTTGCTTGCGCTGTCGTATGCCGGCGGCGCGGACGGCATGGAGACGACGGACAGGCTGATTGACGGCTTGCCCGAGATTCTGTCGCCGAGGGGCTGTGCGTACGTGCTGCTTTGCGCGCAGAACAAGCCGGAGCTGGTCAAGGAAAGGATACGGGCTTGGGGGGGTGGGTGGAGGGCGGAGACGGTTGGGTCGAGTGGGAAGACGGCTGGGTGGGAGAAGCTGCAGATTGTGCGGATATGGCGAGACACGGCGCCGTGAGGGTTGCGGATAATGATATGAGGTTTATGGGGGTTATGAGCGTGGCTCTTGGACAATGAACCCCAATTCCCCAAACTTCCTAGACGATTCTTGTAAGGGCACCAGGGAATCTTCTTAAGAGTGGACGATACGACATTCCTTCTGCTGCAATGGTCAGTTGGAAGGAGCTAGATATCACAAGTCTCAAGCTGGGAGAGCATGCTCTTGACGTTGTGAGAGGACTCAGACATTATTCTTCTAGGTATTACAATCTTGGTGGCCAAACTTCCCATATCAATGGCGTCAAGATCATCCGCAACACTATCAGGTAAACTCACAACAAACAAAGAGACAGACTGGCAAGCATTTTGTATATTCGGATATCTTGTCATCTCGAAATAGATTTTTTTTTCTGGCTGCATATCAGAAGCGCTGAACCCCATCTCTTCCATCCTCCCCACTCGGAACAATTGTCGTTTGTTTCTTTAAATTTGTAGGTGGGCAAAACGCATCCCAAACGCCGGTTCCCATCGCAGTTTGCGACGCCTCCACAGTCCGTTGAAGTCAAAAATGTTTTCTCCTTTGTTCTGTATCGTTTACAAAAGATTCTTCTCCCACTGATATCGACCCTCGGCCCGGCCCAGCTTGGAAAAAAAAAAAGATATAGTGCCTCGGTTTCTCTATCCCTTGTCGTATTATTATCGTCCCAATTACAACTCTAGCCACGTCCACGGCCACGTCCACGACCGCGACCTCCCCTGCCACGACCTCCACGGCCGCCACGGCCTCCTCTGTCAGCCTCCTTTCGGGCTTTGTTCTTGGGCTTGGGTGCGTCGTCGATTAGTAGGGTGTCGAGAGGCAGGGAGTCGGGGAGGATGAAGTATCGGATTGTTGAGCCTCGGATGTTCATGGTGTCGAGGGCGATAGAGTCCTGGCCGCGAGCTGTCATCTTGACCGTGCGGAGGGCGACGTTCATCTGGGGAGTGACGGAGGAGATGGTGCCGTGGACGATGGTGCCTGACGCGGGGTTGGTTAGTGAACCTGTTTTGCTCGCTGGTCGGGGCTATGCGATGCTGAGAAGCACGGGGAGCTCGCATGGTGGTCTTGTATCGTACCATTCTTCAACTCAATGGTCACCGTTTCGTTGGCACACTTCATCAAAAACCTGCCACGATGCAATTGTCAGTGTCGTGAAGCTCAAAAGCTTGAACATGGCATGGGGAAAGCAGAGACACTGCTCGTCCTACGGGACAATTCAAGCGAAACTCTTCAGCCCGGGGGATATCACTCACCTGACGAGCTTCATGGCGACGGCAGCGGCCTTTCTGGCCAGGTGTGGGATGGATTCAAGGGTTCCGATATGCCTCGTCACGCGCGTTGCCTCGTCACACGGTTTATATTGCAAGGCTGGCGGATGCCTTTGATTGTCGGTCGGAAAAATAGTCGCCCATTATTAGCTGGGCAGTCGTTACTAATGGGAGTTAGCTGGGTTTGGGCGAGCCAAGGCGGGCACGTGACTCTGGAGCTGGTGAGAGGTACGATCGCACAGGTACCCGTTCCCATTAAGTTAGAACCTGCTGTCGACCTCACGTGAACGCGCAGCTCATTAATGTACTGCATACTTTCTTCCCCACCAATATCAGGCACAGCTGCCATGTACCCATACCTTGATCTTCAAAGCTTCAACATCTCCACCCCAACTGGCGCCAGGAAATTCAAGGTTGTTTATCGATAAAGAATGCTTCGTTCAAGAGGAAACCCCGGCAATTCTCTTCGGGCCGGAGTTACTATTGGATTCACCCGTTTGATGCTTTGTCACAGGCAGCTCCAAGCTCCTTCACCTTGTCCAGCGGGCGTTCGTTTCTGTCCATCTTGATGGGGAGATTGCAGATGCTCCAGCCAGCGCTGTCTTGCTTCTTCTCCAGCTGAATCTTTACACCACTCTTGGCCTGACCATCTTCTCTTTCTACCAAAAACACACCAGCTGAGACCTACCCATTAGCTCTGCAACCCCCACTATCTGTGCGACCAGCGTTTTTGGGGGGGTCTCTTGTGCCGCGACTGGGCTTCCACAACAGCTGGCCAGCCTTTTTCCCTGACGCTTCATCTGCTCGGTTTTGCCTCTTAGCTGCTCACGCAGAGCTGAAGCAGCAATGATTTCAGGGCGAGGGGGAGCGGGGGCTCGAGGGCGCATCCGCCCACCTCGTCGGATTGTGCGTGTAAGTTGCAGGCTGAAACCCAAATTCACGGCGCATCCCCTCTCACTGCCCAGCGCATCTTGAGCGAATCCTGCCATGCGATGCTGGAGCCCATCAACGCCGCTGTTCTCGGTGCAATTCTGTCTTCATTACTTTCTTCTGCTTCACCAGACAAGCCGCGATGGGTTCCAGCTCGAGCAAGCAGGCGCCTTCTCATGCACAGACGACCTCACCAGAGCCCTTGCACCTTGAGCCCAGAGCTCGCAGACCAGCAGCTAATCGCCATTCACAGCCAAACGGACCTGGCGAGGGAGCCGACTTCGATGCGTGCTGGAACATGATTAAAGAAGCGTTGCGCGATATCCACAACAAGAGCTGCGGCCGTCTTTCCTTCGAAGAGCTATACCGAGCGGCGTATAAGATCGTGCTTAAGAAGAAGGGCGAGGTTTTGTACGACAAGGTCAAGGAATTCGAGGAGCAATGGTTTGCCCAGCACGTCATTCCCAAGATTGAAGTCTTGGTCACCAAAAGCCTTATCAATATTGGTATCGACATGTCGTCATCAGCCTCTGTCAACGAGCGGCGGCAAACGGGCGAAAAGTTCCTCAAGGGGCTTCGAGATACCTGGGAAGACCACAACATGTCCATGAATATGACAGCAGATATCCTCATGTATCTGGATCGGGGCTACACGCAACAGGAGCCACGTCGAGTCCCCATCTTTGCTACCACCATTGCTCTATTCCGAGACCATATATTACGTTCATGCCTCAACGCGAATTCTGATAGCTTGATTGTGGACATTCTTATTTCCGTCATGCTAGATCAGATTGATATGGAGAGACGCGGAGATGTCATTGACCGCAACCTCATCCGTAGCTGCAGCCGGATGCTGAGCTGCCTGTACGAAACCGAGGACGAAACCGAGAGCAGCAAGCTCTATCTCACCATTTTTGAGCCCCGGTTCCTCAGCAACAGCGAAACTTTCTACTCGAGAGAGTGCGAGCGGCTACTACGAGAGTCTGACGCCAGCACCTGGCTACGGCACACCGAGACTAGGCTCCTGGAAGAAGTGGACCGGTGCGGCACCACTATTGAGCTCGAAACTCTTCCAAAGGTGTCAGAGGTTGTAGACAAGAAACTTATTCTTGGTCACCTGGATGACTTCCTTGCTATGGAGGGTAGCGGCCTAAGGTGGATGATTGACAACGACAAGACAGACGACCTCAGCATCTTGTACCGGCTCATCTCGAGAGTGGATGATAAGAAGACTGCTCTTCGCGAAATATTGCAAAAGCGAGTTGTTGAACTCGGCTTGGAGATTGAAAATGTGTTGAAAAACACCGACTTTTCGACAGGACAGGGCGAAGGTGAAGATGGGGGAGAGGGGGACAAGGGTAAGACGCTTAATTCGGCTGCGCAACAGACAGCAGCGGCCATCAAGTGGGTTGACGACGTGCTTCGGCTCAAAGACAAGTTTGACTACATGCTACGGATATGCTTCCAAAACGACCTGGTAATTCAAACTGCACTGACCAAGAGCTTCGCCGACTTCATCAACCTGTTCAACCGAAGCTCGGAATACGTCTCTCTCTTCATTGATGACAGCCTAAAGAGAGGCATTAGGGGCAAGACTGAAGCCGAGGTAGATGCCATCTTGGAGAAGGCGATTGTCCTGATTCGTTATCTGCTGGACAAGGACATCTTCCAGACCTACTACCAGCGCCACCTCGCACGACGACTGCTTCATGGCAAGTCAGAGAGTCACGATGTAGAGAAGCAGATTATATCACGGATGAAGCAGGAGATGGGACAGCAATTTACAAGCAAGTTTGAAGGAATGTTTAGAGATCTTGTCACCTCTTCAGAGTTGACATCGACGTACCGTGACCATATCCGCAAATTGGATCCCGAAGGCCACACCATCGATCTCAATGTCAACGTTCTCACCACCAACTACTGGCCATCAGAGGTCATGGGACGTTCTGCTCAGCTTGGAGAGGCTCCTAGGATGGGCTGCACCTACCCACCTGAAGTCAAGCGGCTGCAAGCCAGCTTTGAGCAATTCTACCTGACTAATCGCAACGGTCGAAAGCTCACATGGATTGGCACAACCGGCAGCGCGGATATCAAGTGTGTGTTCCCGGCCATCGAGGGAAAATCCGGCCCATTGGCACGAGAACGGCGTTACGAGATAAATGTCCCCACGTATGGCATGGTGGTTCTCTTGCTGTTCAACGACCTGAAGGAGGGTGAGAGCCTTAGCTTTGAAGAGATCCAGGCCAAGACAAACATGTCAACGGCGGATCTCACACGGGCGCTCATGGCAATTGCCGTGGCACCAAAGTCTCGAGTTCTCGCCAAGGACCCGGCGACAAAGAGCATTAAGCCTACCGACAGGTTTTCGTTTAATGCTTCTTTCCAGAGCAAGACGATCAGAATCAAGGCCCCCATCATCAGCGCCGTCTCCAAGGTTGAGGATAAGGAGGAGAGGAAGACGACGGAAGAGAAGAACAACCAAACCCGAGCTCACATTGTCGACGCGGCAATTGTGAGAATCATGAAGTAAGTTGGAAAACCAGTCTGAACCAATATTCCCCTGGGCAGCTACTAACTAGTCATCAGGGCACGAAAGGAACTCAATCACTCTCAACTGGTGAGCGAAGTTCTGTCGCAGCTGGTTGGCCGCTTCAAGCCTGAAGTCTCTCTGATCAAGAGGCGTATCGAGGATCTCATTGTGAGAGAATACCTAGAGCGGCCGGATGAAGACGGCGCACCGTCGATGTATCGCTACGTGGCGTGATGGAAGATTGCGGTTTTCAGTACATACGGATTTGGGTAAGGAGGTTGCTTCTGATGAGTTACGAGCATGGGGCCTGTTCTTGTTGTATTTATTCTTCCAAATGTGGCAAGGCGTCTAGAGAACGACGGATTTATTTTTTGTTGCTTATTTTTCAGCATCTGTGGTGCCTGGGGAGGAGAGGCATGCATCTGCAAAACGGCATAGGTTGCCGTTGGATGAAGTTGAGTATTTAGGGGGCAAAGCATCTAGATGGACTGCATTGATGGTACATTTTGATGCTGAGAGACACGTCAATAGCTCGAGCATCAAAGAGACTTCTGGTGCATAGAGTATAAATAAAACTAGGCACATTTGGGGCGTGTGGTATATTGTTTTGACTCTATTGAAATCAACTGGCTTACAGGCTTACTGGCGCTGTAGATGTATCATCGCGGATGAAGCTCATGGTGGTGACATATAATGAGGAAATAACGAAAGACTGCGAGGTCGGAGCAAAATGGCGGCTAGGCACTGAGTAATGAGCACCTACAGCACTGGAGCTGCCCTGTAGGATAGTGGATTTCTAGGGGGCCATGCGCTGTAAGTCGGAGCAGCTCGTGTGCCGAGGCTAATCCGAGCCGCCAGTTTCCGCCCAGCCATTGAGCTCCAGCTCCCAAATGTCATCAACTTGGACTTGATTTGCCAGCAAGAGCTGTAGCTATTTAAGCAATTGAGGTCACGCAACTCACGCACTGTACTGGCTTCAACATTGAAATTTCCTGGGCCATCATCAAAGGGATTACAGGAGTTGTCCATCCGTCACAATGTTTGGACTGAGGAGATCAATGGCCACTGCGGCCTCACAAGCCTCCCTCTCTCTGAAGCAAGCAGGCAAAGTCGTCTGCATTGGCCGCAACTATGCGTAAGGGGGAAAACTTTCTCTTCAACTTGATTAAAAAACCCCTCCATAAACAAGAAAAAGAATAGCTGCTAATGTTGTCGATTTGTTGTTCCAGGGACCACATTGCGGAACTGAAAAACGCAAAGCCGAAGAAGCCCTTCTTCTTCCTCAAGCCGCCTTCGTCCATTGTGCTGCCTGGCGAGGGCCCGTGTCTGCAGCCCAAGGGGGTGGACATGCATTTCGAGGTTGAGCTGGCGCTGATTATTGGGTCAGTGGTGAGGAATTTGCATCCTGAGGATGAGAAGGGGGCGCTAGATGCTATCAAGGGTGAGTGAGTGGTGTGGTGATGATGATGATATGTGCTTTTCACTAAGCTTCACTGCCTTACATCTACATGACAATATGAAAAGAGATAGATGCTAACAAGGGGAAATAAATAACAAACAGCCTACGCCGTCGCCATCGACATGACAGCCCGCAACGTCCAAAACGAGGCCAAGAAGAAGGGCCTCCCCTGGGACATCGCAAAGGGCTTCGACACCTTCCTGCCCATGAGCAACGTGATCCCCAAGACGGCCATCGCCGACCCGCACGACGCCGAGCTGTTCCTCGAGGTCAACGGCCAGCCGCGGCAGCGCGGGTCCACGGGCCTGATGATCTACCGCATCCCGCGCATCATGAGCGACATCTCGCGCGTCATGACGCTGCTGCCAGGCGACGTCGTGCTGACGGGCACGCCGGCGGGTGTCGGGCCCGTCGTGCCGGGGGATGTCATGAGGGCTGGCGTGAGGGTTGCGGGGACGGAGATTGGTGAGGGGAGGATTGAGGTGCCCGTGGAGCTGTCGGGGTCTGCGTATGAGTTTTCGGAGACGTGAGTGGGTTTTATATATATGTGTGTGCGTATATACTAGATGAAGGATGAGAGTTGTGTGGATCGATATGTGCGAGGAAGAGGAGTAAGGCCTCGTTCCAGTTTGGCTACTTTTTTCATTGTGATGTGTCTGTCTTCAAGGAGCATCTACCTATACAACAAACATGTTGTTATCCTCATCCTCATCCTTACTCCAGATTGGGATCCTGAATCGACCCCGGCTTCGGCGCCCAATCCGCCAGCGTCCCGCACCGTCGACACGTCCTCTTCTGCTCATCCCCCCTAAAGTCCTCCACGGCCTGCTTAATCTGCGTGCCCAAATCCGTGCAGTGGAACGCAGCCTCGTGGACAACCACGGCCTCGGCGCCGGGCTCGCCGCAGCACTTTGCGCAGTACCAGCGCATGCGGTCGATGGAGTCGGCCGGGCGGCGCTGCTCCAGGACGACGCCGACGGTGTTTGCGAAGCGCACCGGGTTGTGCGGCGTGTTGGCCGGCAGCAGGAACATGTCGCCCTCGCGGATGATGATGTCGCGGAAGGTTGTGCCGTCGACGACCTTGAGCATCATGGCGCCGCGGTACTGGTAGAACCATTCGGGGGTCTGGTTGATGTGGTAGTCGGTGCGGGCGTTGGGGCCGCCGACGATCTGTTGAGGGCCGTCAGTGAGCTGGAGATGAGGGCGAAGTTGAAACGTGAAAGCTATATATGTGTGTGTGTGTGATGTATTCTGAAGGGAGCTTGAGAAGAGACATACCATGACGGTAAAGTCATCGTTGTAGACGCAGTAGTTGTTGATGGGCGGCTGAAGCAAGTGAGAGTTTGCCTCAAGCCTAGCAACCAAGACGAAGAGCCAGCGTGTTAGCACTCGCTCATTCTTTGGACACAACGAGACAAGATGCTTCAACTTACCACTTGGGCAGGTTGACTGGCGGTCCGAGCATTTGTAATGCCGAGTGGTATGACTCTTACAACACGAAAGTTGGGGTAAGTGGCTTAGTATCAATCAACTGAGGTTGAAACAGAACGCTAGAAAGGTAGAGTTAACATGACAAGTTTTGGTGTCGAGTAGAAGAAAAGAGAGAAAGAGAAAGAAAACAACTCACCAGAAGCTTTTTTTTATAGTCACACAGAAAGACAACTTGTTGGCACGGAAGAGGCAAAATTGAGTCTCATCCAAAAATGCTTGTTTATCAATCAATCCTCCAAATTCCTCACCAGGACTAGCTAAGCTACTCTGAGTACTCTCTTCTATTCCGGCTCTCCGAGCTGTATATGATACAGTGCGAAGAACATCCACATCCCGTATAAACATCATCCGCATCTCGCACCGTGTGGGCGTCAGTTCGACATCATCCTACTTCAACCAAAAGTACACACACAAATGATATTGCCCAGATTGAAAAGAAAAAGGCAATGCAAATTTACCCCTATTCCACAGTCCAAAGCCCCTCGTCGACTCCCGCCCACTTGAGGATATTCTCCTGAGCCGCCTTGAACCTGCGCCTAAACGCCCTCGTCGACGGCACGGGCCCGTTGTAATTGGCCTTCTCCGTCAGCAAAAAGTCGTGGACGATGCCAGTCGTCCTTCCTTGGGGTCCGTAAAAGTTGACCAGCATCCCATGCAGCGCGTGGAGGTGGCCAATGAAGATGTCTTGGAAATCTTTGCGCTTTGGCAAGGAGGGGTCCCGCAGCGACGGGTGATTGGGGAACATGGTAAATGTCGACAGACAAAGCACAAAGTCGATGAGATCCTCGGACCAGGGGAGCCCCTTTCGCCACTTGGTAAAGGCCAAGGCCCTGACCCGGATCTTGATACTGTTCACAAGGTCGCCTTGTCTCTCACATAGTGCTGCCAGGGCCTTGAGCACCGTCGGCAGCGGCTCAAGGTCGTTAGGCCAGGCACCCCCCGCATAGCCAGTCTTGAGGAGCTTGTTCACTTTTCCCATCTGCAGCTTGATGTCAAAGGTACTGGGCGTTGCAAACGCTTGTTTCTTGGACTCATCTATGATGTCGAACAAGGACGCCTGTGTGCTCAGAATGAGCGGAATCACGTTTTCGTTGCTTTTCGCCTGTTTAAAATGGTTATCGGACTCCATTTTACATCTGTCGCCTAAATTGTTTCACCTTTTATCAGTATTCAATGTTTCCATCTGGCTTCATTTCATTTCGTTTCATCGTATATGGGACAGTGGGCATTGGGACATACACTGGCAGTTGAACTGATATCTCGCAGTAATTCGCGGATTGCGAAAGGTGAAATCATATGCAATGTCTCGGTAGCAGTGCAAGAGTTCTTCGCCATCTTTGATTTTCCTAAGAGCCCGAACCTGCACCTGCGTGCTGTTGAACACAATGACAACATTAGGGTCGCAGCAGTGGTTCAGCAGAGCTCCTCCCATGTCGAGGGCAATGCCAAGCGGTGCATTTCGAAAAGTTTGATCGACTGGCAACGAATTGCAGCGAACCTAGAAAAGGGGGGTGATAGGTTAGCCACCAACTTTAGCATGTACATGTTGCGACTCTCACGACACCTATACCGTGAGGGAACACTCACAATGCCATACAGCATCAAGACTTCTCCAATGCTAAGCTCGCTCTTGGTCCGTTCCTTGGCCTCGCGGGCAAGGTTAAGGACCCTTGGCCAGGATTTCTTGGTGCGTTTCTCGAAATTGGCCACCTCGTTCTCGAGCCTGGCCAGAGCTTTTACCTGCTGTGGCAACAAGACTTTCTTTCGCATCAAAATCAAGAGACGGTATAAGGTTCTCGTCTCGACGTCGGCTGATGCCCCTGCAAGTAAACCGCATTCGTATAAATGGCCCGTGTCCCAGGCCCGCTGCGAACAAGACTACGCAAATGTGTTAGTGAGAATGACGAATGGACGACAAAGAACAAGCCCTGGGAAGCGACATTCTACTTACCTGCGAGCAGTACTGGTACAAGCGGCAGCCATTGCAGATGTGCAGAGGGGGCAGAACCTCGCCAGGCTGGAGAAAGCGGTCCTCCACAGGATGAAAGACTCTTCGTCTTTGCTGGAAGCAGAAATCGCATGCTTCCATGCCCGGGCCGACTTCTGCGCACGTCACGAGAGGCACAGACGTAAAGATGAGCTCGCCCTCTTCAACATCCCGAGTAGTGAACATGCCCGAGCCAGCATTGGGGATGGTGGACTCTTGGATGCTGAGCGAGCCCTCAGCAGCCTTGATGGTGCTCAGGATGTAACTGCAGAGCTCCTTGTCTTTGTGTATAGGCCAACGCTTTTGGCTATCGAGGCTCGCATTGACCTGGTCCGGGTCCATGGTGTTGAGGCCGGCCGAAAAGGCCTGTTCGATGGCATTCATCATGGGAGATGGCTGGGTGTATACCTTTGAGTGGTTGGGACAAGCACATCGCTGGACTAGGATGTCTTTCATCATGGTTGACTTTTCTTTGTTTTCCATTGCGTGATGGGAGCAAGCTTGGATGGCTTTGGGTTGGACACGAGCTGAAGGAAGCGGGACTCAATTTGTACTCGTATGCAAACGCTTGGAATCCCGTGGAAGAAAGCCACAACTAGGAAAAAGGAACGTTATGCAAGGGGCTGGCTAGTCACGTCGAGGCTGGGCTCAGATGCTGTTGTCGTCACACAGCTTCGGCCTGAACCTGAGGGCTCGATGCGGTGCCCCCATGCAGGCAGCTGGACTTGTAGGATGGGAACAGACAAGGAGTGGTGGAAAGACGATATGGGCGTGGGTGCGTATTGGATGGAAATCCGGTGGTGGTTGCAGAGGGATTGTTTGCCATGAATGCCTCTTGGCCATTCGCTGTTTCAGGGCAGCGTGCGCGAGGCCTGGCGTGTTGTCGAGAGGCGATTGGCTGCCTTTGTGCTGCAATGCAGTTGCTACTGCAGTTGATGCTGCTGCTGTGCTATGCTGTGCTGTGATTCTTTCCATCTCGTTTCAATTCTTCCTCCGCCATTTAATAAATTCGCAATATTATCTCTATGATAGCCATCCAATCCATCTCCATTACTTCCAAGTGGTTGGTTAGTTATTAGATCGTCTAGTCTACGGCGGAACTGGAACAGCTCCAGCAGTGGAGTCCCCTATAAGCTCCACTGTAGCATGGCAATGGCAAGCTCCCTGTACTCCGTAGGTATTAGCGCCAACTCCAAAAGAGGCGTGGCAGGCACAAGTGCCGCACCAAGTACAGAACCTGCTCACATGTACCTTTCCGTACTCCCGCTTAGTCCCGTCGTGGTTTCTCAGCCCGTTGCACTAGTGCGGGTACAACAGAGTACCGGCATCTTCCCCACGGTACGCCCTTCTTTGATGGCGTGAGCTGCCCTGTGCTGTGTGATTAATGGCAGGTCATGTTTCAGCTCCGCCAAAAAGCCACCGCCCTCGATAGCAGCATCGGCTTCTTTCAACCACGACCGCTTCTTCTTTCTCTCCCCCCATACTCTCTCTCGCGTCTCTGTCCATTACCTCTATATTTGCTCTCTCATCATCATCATCACCACCATCTCCATCTCCATAATATCATCATCATCAACATCATTCAATTCACAATGGATCACAGCCATCACATGCATTCCATGGAGGGCCACGGCGGTGGTGGCATGGACGACATGTGCAGCATGAGTGTAAGCATCTATCTACAACTCCAATCCTCCCCTTGCCCGTTACTCCAGCTCACCAGGCTCACTCTGACCCCAGATGCTCTTCACCTGGGACACGACCAATCTCTGCATCGTCTTCCGCCAGTGGCACATCCGCTCCAACACCTCCCTCGTCCTCTCCCTCATCGCCGTTGTCCTCATCGGCATCGGCTACGAGTTTCTGCGCTCGGTATCTCGTCGTTACGAGGCGTCTCTGGCGGCGCGACTGGAAACTGTACCTAGTGAGTAAAGCCATGTCTCTCTTTGTTTTGATCTCCTCGACTCTCGTCCCTACGAGGACAAGCTGCATACAGAGTTGTGCATCTGCGCGCTCTTATACAAGCTTCATGTAGTATCAAACATCTTCATATCCCTACCCAAATGGACCATACCCCTTTCAAAAAAGAACATGCGCATGCTAAAATTCCTTGAGACGCCACTGCGCATGCCTATCGCGATGATGATGATGAGGAGAATGTTACTGAGACATCCGCCTTCCACCGCTCAGGACAAAACCGCGAAAACGTCAGCAAGCGAGGCCACGTCATCAAAGCTACGCTCTATGCCATTCAGAACTTTTACGCCTTTATGCTCATGTATGTCCATTGATCCCTCCTTGCGAGTGTCTTCCATTTCTGGCTGCTCTTCTAACAATTCAAGGCTCGTCTTCATGACATACAATGGCTGGGTCATGGTGGCTGTCTCGCTGGGTGCCTTCCTCGGCTACCTCTTGTTCGGTCATGCTACATCGGCCACAAAGGACAACGCTTGTCATTAGAAAGTGAAGCTTGATGCATACCAACCAGCTTCGATTTAAGCAGCTTGACTTTGCGTTAGAAAGCGTCAAACAGCGTGTTTTGCATGCAGCAACGGCAACCTTTTGGTTGAGCATACATAGTTATATTGAATAGTACTGAAAGCTTACAGGATCAATTAAATATTCATCGCCTTAATCTACTCCATAACCAGCAGTTGACGGAATTAAAGCCGCTTCTAAGTTCATGCAGAGACCGTGCCTTGTTCTAAATCAGCGTGCATATCATTACATCTTAGCCGGCTTGTCGTCTTCCTTCTTCGGAGGCGCACCGTGATCATCCAGCGCGCCCTCCTCCTGGGCAATTTTGATCACATCAAAATCGCCAAAATCAACATTGTGCACCATTTCGGGCTCCTCATTGTACGCAATCCTCGCTGCGTCGACCAACACCCTACCAGTCAAACCCCAGACCTTGAACCGGCCTTCGTGGTCCTGGCTTACTTCCAGCTGGTCCGCCAGCTCTATCTGCGCTGCGCTCCCCCTTCTAGGCCTTGAGACCTTCTGGTTGTTCACTGGCACGTAAAAGTTGTGCACCCTCCACTGCACCCCCTTGTAGTTTGTCCATGCGCCGTCATACCAGTGACCCGGCGGCAGCGTCTCGCCGTGTCGAGGCGGTAGATCGTTCATCTTGAGAAAATTGTAGAAAGGAGCGCTGAATACAGCGGCGACCTCGCGGGCATCCAGCCGGGGGATCATGGAGTCTTCAACCAAAGCGGGAGGCGAGTCCGGAGAGGTGCGATCCGCGTGGAGGAATGCGACGCAGGGAGTCACCACAAGATGCGTCCGAGCCAAAGACGGCGGGAGATCACAGAGCTGCTCTATGCGAAACGGTTTGGGGATTCGATTATCGTCCATGGGGAGGCCAATCTCTTCGTACGCCTCCCGTCGCGCAATCTGGTCTGTTTCCTCGGGTCAGCCAAATACCCTGCTCTCATCTCGATGCGCGAGCATAAACCATACATGGTGTTTCTTCTTTGCTATCTGCTTTCCCTCCCGGCAACGCGGCGTGGCCCGAGAAGCTCCTCAGGCTGGCCGCGCGCATGGTGATGACAACCCTCAGGTCGCCCCATCGATCCGCAAACAAGAGCACCAAGATGGCCGCTCTCTTGCGCGCAGGGAGGGCATCCCACAGCGGGAACGGCGGGGGCTTGTATGCTCGAAATCGGTTGAGGGCAGCCTATGTATTGCTATTGTAAGCGAACCAGCAAAAGCAAATCAAGCAGCAAAACCGACCAGAGAAAAGGGATTCAGAGACGCCATCGTCGATGCATCATAGTAAAGCGATGCGCCGCTGTAATCATGCGCAACGGCAACGCCCAGCGCCTCGGCAATGTGGCTCTTGACCTGCGCAACTTCGGCCTCGGACAGAGCGGCCTCGGAGGCGTCGACGTCGACTTCCGGCTCTGGCGCGGATCCGGCGATGCTTTCTGTGTTGCGCTGCTGTTCCTGGGCGGTCATTTTCCAGCGTCAGCCAGCAACGCCTCTTTTCTTCTCTCTCTCTCGCTGTGCCCGCCTTCGCCCGTTTCAACAGAGGCGCTGACGGTCTTCGCTTTGCGTCGGGAGAGTTGGGAATGGGGAGGAATTGGCAAGGTTGGAGGGGCGGCATCGCACATCTGGACTGGAATCTTGGGGGAGCGGGGGATCCGATGACACAAGCCGAGGAACGGGCCGAAGGGCCGGGGCTGTTTGACAGCAGGCCGAGCCGGTGATTCGTCGCATCTTGTTCCGATTAGTTAAACTTATGTTCTACTACTGGATTCGAGAGATCAAGACTGAGAATCAAGAACAAAAGTGTATTTGTGCCTTATTACTACTTATTACGGCCCCGGCCCCGGGACGAAACGACTAACACGACAGCACCGGCATCAAGGTACAGTTATTAACTCGGGAGCCCAATCAACAATTACCAACTAATACCATTTCACACAACCTTACTCTATTCCTCCCTTACAAAAGCGCAGCAATGCCCGCAGCCAGGAAGCTAAACAGCTCCAGCGGCTTCATCCCAGAGCCGCCAGACACAATAGGGGGATTCGTGGGGTGAACAGGAGGCGCCGTCCCGTTGTGAGGAGGCTTATGCTCGTGCTCCTCTTCGCACTCCTTGATGCAGTGCTCTCCATCGGGCGTAAACGGATTGAAGCCGAGGCATTCTGCATACTTGGCAGAGCAGTCTGCCTGGTTGGCGCCGGGCTTGCCCCTGCAAACGTCGCGCTCTTCGTTGCACTTCTTGATGAGGCGGCAATCCGGCTTGGGAGGAGGAGGGGGAGGAGTGGGCGTGGGAGTGATGATGGGCTTGGAGCACTTCTTCTCGATTTCATCCGGGTTGTGCTGCCCGTCAAAGGGGTTGTAGCCCAGACACTCTGCATACTGAGAGGCGCAGTACGACATGTTGGCTCCAGGGGCGCTGCGGCACTTGTTGTACTCGTCATAGCACTTGCACTCGTCTTTCGGCGGTGACGGCGGCTTAGTGTGTGTAGGAGCAGCCGTCGTCTTGGAACACGCCGTAGGAGTAACGAAGCCGTTCTCGTACGGGTTATAGCCCAGGCAGTCGGCGTAATCAGCAGCACATTGGGCCCTGTTGGTGTCGGGCTTGGTGAGACAGGCGTCGTGGGCGGTGGTGCACTTCACTGCACATTCCTCGGGGGTGCCACTGTAGTCGGCAAGGACTGAGGCGACGAAAGCGGTGATGATGATGGTGGAACGCATCTTGATGACTTGTGTTTACTGGACTTGTCTCTATCTTTATTATATTCTTGTCTGTGGGTTTGTTCAAGTGTGAATGATACCAAAATATGGATAATAGCGAATGATGAGAGAACAGGAGAAAAGACTAGATGAACGAGTGAAGGACGCTGCAGCGCATGATATCAAAGAGAAAAAAGCATCGTCATCATGGCCGAACACCCGCAATACTTATACACCACTGAGGTCCAAGGGAGGAAGAACCGAACCCGTCAAAACAAGAAGCTGCGAGCAGCGGTTGCATTCCAACGGATGAGGCGAAAGATGATCGGGCCTCGCCTCTGAGACAAAACACACGGAAACCTGCTTACCCGGGAGAATGGAAATGGGGAATACTCTTGCCAATTTTCTCGGCCCGTCGGCCAATGAGGCGATGTGCCGCATAATATACATTGAAGATTGAAATGCTGACAGGTGGTGTAGCCGTTTCATGGGAAAGAAATCTGTTAGACTACAGCCCATCATGTCGCTTCACCAACCTGCAAACCTTTCAACCGCAGGAAAACAAGCCGTCTAGAAACCAAGGCCAACAGGAAAATAGTCATCGGGCGATCGACCGGGGGGGAAAAAATACCAAGCCTCTTCCCACATTCCTCAAGACCAACATGCCGGTCCAAGTCCCGTGTCATCTCCTCCCATTCCGCAAGCAAACATACTGACTTCGAGAACGATCGATTCACGATGCTATAATAAGAAACATTACCCAATACGGCAGTCTCCGGCACAGCATCGACAGCCGGCAAACACACTCCATTCGTCTTCGAAATCAAACGTTATGTCGTACAATCATGCCATCACCATCATCAAGCCATTTCAATAGCACAAAGCACAGACCAAATTTGTGCATCTCTTGCGCCTGTTGTCCTGCGGGGCCTGTGGAGTTTCTTATATATTATAAACACAATAATACATATGCCTTTTTCGGCCCGTCGCGCGATCTGCTCCCGAGCTTCTTTCCAAGATCATAGGCTTCATTAGCAGAATGTAGCGTCTGGAGCTTTATAACAGGAGAAACCTTGAAGATGAAAAGCTGACATTGGATTCTTCACAGGGGCATTCGCCGGCACGGACACAGACTTGGAATTATTCTTCAGTTTCATCAATTTATGCTCCGATATTATAGTCGTTGTTAATCCAATATCCTTCTACAAACGACATTTTTATATATAAAACAAAAAAAAAAAAAACAGGAAAAGTGGTATATGATCGTATACAGACAAAGGCAATATGCCAACCAAACAGGGGATATCCATGTGCAAGCCCATTACTCCGTAGATGATGCACGAAAAGGAGAAAACCAAACCAAAACAAAGAAACCAGGGAGGGAAAAGATAGTCCAGATAACGTCCACCATGCTTGTACATAGATTCGTGCCCATTGTTGATCATGTCTTCGTTTCATGAATAAGACGGAGGGAAAATTAAGGAAAAGGGGAGGGGGGCAATATTGGTTTTTTTTTTTTTCCTCTCTTGCTTTACGCAAAGACGCTCTCACTCACGACGCCAATATCCTGCTTAGCAGGCTGCTGGTCCTTCCGTCTCCTACCGACGGTCAACAGCCGATTCATTTGATCACCAGTTTTTGCCCATCCTCGCGACAGGCTTGATTCATCGTCCCGGCGCACCATGGCCGGCGAGTCTCTACCTCGATCTTCTTTGTGTGAAGAGCGGTCTCTGCGCCATCGGGTCCTGCTGTTTGGGCGTGAGTCGCTATCTGAGTCGCTCTCATCAAACGCGCTCTTGGGAACTGAGGGTTCCTCAACCTCAGGGGCTGGAACAGCAGGAACAGGGGGTATCTCAGCAGAACCGCTGCTGCCCACTCTCCTAGAGTGTGGGTCAGCAGTGGTTGGTCGAACAGCACTGGTTGCTTTCCTTCGGAGGCGAGAGAAATGGGAGCCTGATTTGAAGCTCAAGATGGAGGACCGCCTCCCAAGTGGCTCCGAAGAATTAGCCTCATCGAGGCTGGTCTTCGGCACCGCTGCGGCGGCCAGCTCAACAGCAAACTTGTGGTACTCGCCAGCAGCCATATCGTCGTCACTGCCATCAACTTGCTCCTCCTCCTCCTCGTTTGAGGGCATGAACACGTCTTCCTGCGCGGCAAGATGACCCAAGCCATCTTGGTCAAAGATCCGGGCACTTCGGCGGCGACGAACAGAATTTTTAGGGCCAAGGGGGAATCCAGAAGCCGAATGTGGCGATCCCGGTCCCCATGAGCTTTTCTTGCTGGACAGGCTAGCCATGCCGTCGTCGTCCTCCAATACCGGAACCAGCCCTTCCTCTGGAAGCTGCAAAAGAGTGGCAGGGTTCGGGGCGGATGGGTCGTCAAAGCTTCGGCTGCTTCGAGCAACAACCTCCTTCTCGCCCTCTTTGGGGGTAATGCCAACAAGATTCGTAACGTCAACGTCGAGTCCCATGAGCTGCATCACCTTCTTTGACTTCCGGTGCTTGAGACTAGCCACAGGGCTAGGAAGGCTCGACTGGCGAGGGGGATGGGCATTCTTGACGGGGGTGCTCGGGGCTTGGCGGGGCGAGGGTGAGGCGATTCGACCTTCAGCTTCAGCTTGAATTTGCGGCGCATTGTTCGATCCCAGTCCTACTGGTAGGGAAGCCGGTTTATTCTTCTTCTTGTTGATCTTGAGAGGCGGCGGAACAACAGACGAGTTGGTCATGGGAGGGAGAGGCGGGAGAGGCCTCTTCACATATGCATCAGCATTGTGTGGCCGCGGTGCCAGAGGCGTCACAGGCCGGCTGCTCAAGGCAGGAATTTCCCAGGGACCCAGCGTCGAGGGACTCAGTGGCGGATCGGAGACGGACCGCAGGTGGAGCATCTTCCGGTATTGAATTTATATCCAAGGGCTGAGAAGCTACTAGTAGGAGCTGGGTGAGGAAGAGGAAAGAAGTAGTATTCAGCTCGAGCCCAAGACTGGCCTGGTTGAGATTTGTTAATGAGGGAAGAAGGCGAAGAACCAGAACGGCGGGCACACACCTTGTATAATAAAGACACACAGGCAGGCCCCAAGGCAAGTAATGTCAAGGCAGGGTCAGGCAATCCCAAAGGAACCCACGTGGAAATGGGTGCACCGGCCTCTGGGGTATAAAATTGACAGTGACAGCGATGGAGCGGCAAAAACACACCACGGAGTCTGTGCTTGGAGCCACCCCCACAGGGTCACCCCCTTCGATTGCTAAGCTGTGAGAGACAAAGCGCACAGATAGTATAACTAAGTGATGTGAATCGGTCCAGTAGACATGCATACAAATGTGAATGTGAAAGAGGGGAAAGAGAAGAGAGAGAAAGAGAGAGAGGCGGAGAAAGAGAGCGCGCGCGTGTAAGTGACCATGAGAGTATGAGCGACGGGTGCAACAACGCGAACGTGTGCTTGTGCTTGTGATGTGCACAAGGTCGTACCAAGATGCGAGAATGAACTCGACATACATATACTCTCGCGTCTCTGTATTCCGGACGGTAATACACAAAGCACGAGTACAAAAGTATGCAACGTACAAACCCCAAGGGGCGTGGGTGCAGGGCGTGGATGAACGAACAAACGGTACGGAGTAAGATCATCAGCAACCTCATCCGGCATGGCCGATCATCAATGCCGAGTGGAGGAACGATTGTCCACACTATGCCACAGATTGGCAGGACAAACGAAACGTGAACATGGAGGGAATGTGAGCCCGCTGACAATCATCCGTAGGAACATGAGTAAAGCCGGAGTCCTAAGTGTGTTTTTTTTTTTTTCTTGTTGCTTGCATCATGGCTGCTGTTCAACGACAAAGGCCAAAGTGACGACAGCCGGAATGAAGGCATGAGAAACAAAAATCGTCATGACAACGGCATCTACACGGCTCGTGACCCGCTCGAGAGGAGCCTTGATCCTTTGCCAAGTTTGCACAACCTTCTGGGGAATGCAGCTCGGAGGCTTGTAAGGCTGCCTGGCCATGGGCATCGTTGTCGGGCTCTCGGCGTGTCATCCCATCTGGCCCGTGTAACATCTTCAAGCCGCTTTGTCTCTTCCTTCTCCAGGCTTTTGTCCTATCAGCACAGCCGAAACATGCAGGCTGGGAGAGAAACGGGCGTGTGACGGGTGCCCATCATTCCAGTCTGACATGCCGGTTCGACACTTTTCCTCATCCTCATCCTCCCTGCTTCTATAGCTCTCGCCTCGGTCGACGGCTCAGCGTCCCGTGCCTCGTACTAGCAGCTACCCGTACCAATGGCTGTATACGAGTACCTGGGCGAGTATTTTCCCCCCGTTTATGCAGCATGGTGTAACCCTTGGGTTTTCCAGCATACGAGTGCTGCAGCTTGTCGGCCTGGAACGCAATCTCGCTTTTGCATCTTCAAGGCCCCTTGTCCGGGACATGCAGTCAATCACCCTCGCCGTCGCACCGCCCCGACGGACGTATATATGTTCTCCGTACGGAGCACGGAGTACATGTATACAAACCGGCCTGGCAAGGTACTCGTATTGCCAATAGTATGTATTTCGCAGCTCCATGCAAACTCTTCGTCTCCCCATGTCTTGCTGCAACATTCTGTCGCACTGCCAGCTTCTGTCAGTTGACTAGCTCAACCCAATGCACCGGAATGGAGCACGACAGTGCAATGCTGACGCTCCCCTCTAAATTGGTCATTGCATGCAGGGCACTGACCTATGAGCCCCTCTAATGGAGACTCGGTGACAAGGCATGAGCTCCTTGTCCTGTCCGGTTCGGGGAGGTCTCTCTTCCAACCCCCAAGGCCTGACTCTTTGTGTCTTTCATTTTGCATGGCGAGGCCCCCATGTCGCTTTTAAAACACTTCTCATCATGCGAAGCAGACATGAGACGCAATGCACGTGGCGCAGACGCAGAAACTTGTTGCATGTGCATGTTGATTTCGTCCCTGAGCAATTGAAGCCATCCCTGCAAGTGGAGTCCGTGGAGAGCAGAGACGTGCCCCGTACCTGTCGGCCAAGCAATTTTTGATGCGTAATATCTGCTGGAGCAGCAACTTTTCATGCTCACAAGTGACTGATGGAGTTTGGGCTTCAATGCAACCAGCGGCGGATTCGTCTCATTTCGTTTGCCGGTGGAATCAGGATCATTATTCTCCGCGTGGGGGCTGTCCACTGCCTGTCCGAATATTCGTATCTACTTGGCGTAGGACGAGCACTAGAGCCTCGCCTTGTCGATGTCTAAATTTGCGTTGTCAAGTAACCGTCGATGCCGGTGATAATCGCCCGCGCGCCAACTGACTGGTCGGAGAAAAAGACCCTTGAACGTCTAGCCGACCTCTCTGGTTCCTCCAATCAGCTGGAAGCGTATCGTTCGCTTTCATCCCTATGGTGGTACGACCGGCATTTATCTAGCCCTGCCGTTATACTCGTACGCTTGCCAAGTTCCTGGCCTGCCGCCCCCAATTTCTTCGGACCCCTTGTCCCATGTGTGAACTAGTACCCCATACAGGTAATGTGAATGCAAAATGCTAGGCAATACCGAGTGGTCCGAAAATGTCTATATAAATAGAAAAAAAAAAAAAAGAGTTTACCAAATGTTCCAAGCCCAAGCGCGCCAACTGCCATGTACAGAGTATGAAATCCTAAAAATAGCCCCCCTTTCTCTCTTTCTTTCGCCAAGGTGAACAAGACAAAACTCCAAGCCTTTTGTGGCAGTCCCTAGTCGTCATCGTCTTTGCCCTGATAGTCACCTAACAGAATATCGTCAATGCCGAGCCCCGTAGAGGAATTCCTAATCCACTCCGTCTCAACGCGGAAGAAGATCCACATCCATCGCCGAAACACCTCGAGAAGCTCGATCAGGAAGATTCCGCTCTCATAGTCGGCAAATTTGTCCAGATGAGGACTCAGCTTCATCGACCACGAGCAACGCAGCATTAAATCGAGGCCAATGACAAAGTAGTACAGACCAGCTGAGCGGAAGACGAGCCGATCGCGTAGCCCCCACGGGTGGTGCGCTGATGCTCGCTCTCGCGACGAGAAGAGTGTCAGATCCCAATCTTTGGCGACGTCCCAGTAGAAGGAGTAGAGCGAGTTGACCAAAACGGCGACCAGCCAAGCCCGGTGCAGCGTGACCATGTCGCTCTCTGGCCCGGCCCCCCTTTGCATGGCGCTTGTGATGATGACGGGGAATGCGGTAGAGTACTTGAGAGCGTTGGCCAGGTGTTGGCCACCCCAGCCCGCAGACTCCTTGTACGGGGCCCGTCGAACTCTCAGGTACTCGATGAGGCACTGTCGGAAACGGATGATGCTCGGCACAGCCATAAGCAGCGGAACAAAGAGCGTACCCCCGCAGCTCCTGTTAGGATGGTCCGTCGAGGAGCCCCCAGCGCTGAAGAACATGCACAGCGTGACGAAAACGTCTCCAAACACCTTGGCATACGATGTCAAGACATCAGCCAGCAAGATGTCTCCAAATTTTCCATCTTGCGCCTCCGCAATGCCGCCAATGCTCACCCGCCGCAGCGTAGCAAGGAAACGTCTTCGACCACCAGTAGGCAGATTTCGCAAAGGAACGAAGAAGAATGCCACCAGCGCGACCAGGTACGTCATTGGCATCCAGTCGTAGGCAATGACCCGGGCCGGCACGTGCCAGGTGCACAGCCAAAACAGGGTAATGGACAGCGAGAACAGCGCCGTCAAGACTATTGCGAGTCGGTACGTAGACAGGTGATGCGATATATGCTGCGGCGAGCTTCGTCCAGGGTATCGGATCAAGGCGGGAACGTCGATTCGGAAGGCATGCAGCCAATGGAGGTTGATGCCCCATCCCCAGACAGCTATTAAGCATATTGTCAGCATTATCAATGCCCTCGCAGAAACATGTTTCCCAAGGGGGTGCAAACGGGGCTAACCTAGAGTGACGATAAAGCCGACTCGGAACGGCAGAGGAAACACCAGGCTGAAGGCATCGAGCTGAGGCTCTACGGCAGGATCACCATCCATGATGGAAACGTGTTGTCAAGCCAATTGCACCCGCAAAGAAGCATGAAGGGGATAGACATGGAGGGAGCGCCTCTGCGATTGGTCCTGAGCGGTGGGCGAACGAACGGCTGCGCTCTTGCTGCGCACGCTTTGTATGTTGGTCAAAGCCAATGTCTGGATAGTCGATGAAGACGGGAGAAGTGATGTCTGAGGCGACAAAGGACCAAGCTGTCCCTTGCATTTTTTGGCGCCAAAATTAAAGGGTAGGTGCGGAAAAAGGTCCCTGCCGCAGCGCAATCTACGTCACTGCTAGTGTCTTGGTGGTAACTGTAGCGAAACAATGCCGAGAATTTTAGTGAACAAAAGTGACAAATACCTTGATCGAATTGATCAATGGATTGAGACTATCTAGGTTGATTCGATACTTGACATCGCATGGCCTTGACTGAAGGCATATTATGGAAACCTTGAGATGAAGTAATTGGCTACAAGTAGCATTAGTGGCGCGTACCACGTTGAACATTAGGTATCTTTCGGCATGTACCTATCCAGAAGTACTGGTCATCTCCGAACAAAGCATCAATTGGTATTAGATGAACCACTCTCTTTCAGTACCAAATGCACCCAGTCATTACCAAAAACATGATCATGACCCCCACGCTCAAAATCAGTTTATCCATTGATACTTTCACATCACTGACTTGCACTTCACCAATCTACTTTAGCACTAACGGATCTCGCTGTGTATCTGTATGTCACCACATGGCTTCGGGCAATCTTGTTAACCTAGCCGGTTTAACGGTAGCGGCACATGGGGCTGGTCAACTGTCCCGAGGTCCAGCGTTTAGCACTACAGCCGAAAGCTACAATGGACCCCAAAACTTTCAGCTTTCAAATCAACATCATCATTTCCTCGACCCGTCATGCGAATGCGAATGCCGCTTCTTTAACGATCTATCCTTGACATACACGCATTGCTATTTCTTCTGAATTTCATATAGCGAGCATATCACGTCGAAAAGAGGGAGAGAGAGAAAAGAAAGGAGAGCCCAGATATCAACCATGGCCGCCACAACAACACCATCAACATCATCACCATCACAATCCTCATCCTCCACGACTCCCTACCCCTTCGCCGCAGCCCCCGACATCGTCCGCTCCCACCAAAAGGACGCCTACTTCACCGGCCAGCTCGCAAACTCCTTCTCCGAACTCCACCGCCGCCTCTTCGGCGCCCGCTCCGCCCACTCGCTAGCCCCCGAGCTTCGCACCGCCGCCTCGCTGCTCTACTTCTGCCTCACCACCCTCCCCGGCAACCGCACCCTGGGCGAGGAATACTGCGATCTCGTCCAGGTCGACGCGAGCGCAGGCCTCTCATTGCCCGCTCTCCCCTCCCGCGCCGCCTACATCGTCGGCACAATCCTGCTCCCTTACCTGGCGAGCCGCGTACTGCCCGGCCTCCGCGCTCGTCTACGCCGCTTCCTCGACCGTCGCCTCGCCACCCTCCGCCAGCAGGGCAAGACAAAGACGCGCCAGGCTCGCGTCCTTGACTACCTCTCCACGCATCTATCCTCCGTCACGTCCGCCGCGCCGCTGCAGGCCGTCGTCCTCGCCCTCTTCTACTTCAACGGCACCTACTATGAGCTCTCCAAGCGCCTCCTCTCTCTGCGCTACGTCTTCACCCGCACCGTGCCCGACACCCCCGACCGCGGCGGCTACGAGCTCCTCGGAGTCCTGCTAGCCATTCAGATGGGCGTCCAGGCCTTCCTCCACGTCCGCGACACATTCTCCTCCGTCGCCTCGTCCCAGCGCGAGAGGGCCGCTTTCCACTCGGGGGAACTTGATGTCTCCCTCAGCCACAACAATACCTATACCGCATCCAACAACGAACTTTTGCTCAGTGGGAGCACCGGTGCCCAGGCGAGCAAGGTGGACATCGCCACGACAACACACACCCCCATGAGCGGCATTCCGAGGTTCCATCTCGAAAACGAATCCACCATGGGATACATCAAGGGAAGCCAGCAGCGCAAGTGTACACTGTGTCTCGAGGAGATGAAGGATCCCGCCGCCACCCAGTGCGGGCATGTCTTCTGCTGGGAGTGCATCGGCGACTGGGTCAGAGAAAAGCCTGAGTGTCCCCTGTGTAGAAGAGAGGCCATGGTACAGCACATTCTTCCCTTACGCGTCATGTAACGAAGTTCTTTTTTGAAGCAAAATCAGATGTTCTTGGATAGCTAGGTTGTAATACTCCATACAAGTAGTAGTAATACGTTTGCAGGAAATGAAAACAAGATGTAGAAGAAGAAGAAGAAGAAGAAGAAGAAGAAGAAGAAGAGAAAGGATAAACACCAAAAAGATATGAAAATAGAGCAGATGCCTTGCTAGGCTTGTCAGCCAATGATCCACCTCGTATGCCATCATACATAATGAAAATGAAAAAAGACAAAATAAATAGAACAAAGAGAATTGAAGCTTTCCCATCACACATTCCTCCTTCATGGTATCATTCATCTCCGTCATTACTGCTCCCAATGTCCATCTTTCCGTCTCATACCGTAGTTATAATGCCACAAGATTAGTTGACAATTCCCACTCCATGGCCAAAGCAGCGCCGTCTTGCAAACCCCAGATGTTTGCTCCGTGACGGCGCACCTTGGCCACATGATCTCGGGAAACGTCGATGTCGATGTTGATGTTGTTACAGGGGGGGAAGACCAAGTTTGCCCGTCTATCCATGACCCTTTAAAATAGTATGACAGATAGAAGACATAGTGGTACAGTTCCGTTCCGGCCAAGCATATAAAAACGCTGTCAAAGCAAGCAAGATGATCCAGCAAAACTCCTGTATCCAAGTAACACTGAGCAGGACCCGCCCTTTGGACGAACTCCGTCGAGTTTTTTCCTTTTCCTCATTTTTTTTGGGTTATGCTTTTACTTTTTTCGATAGATTTCTTCTTTCTTGTTTATTCACAAAAGAGAACAATTTCGCCTCGGTCGTTGCGTCGAAGTCGCAGTGAGCGCCACAGTTCCTTTTCTTCCTTGCCCTTGGGGGTGCTAGAGCCGGCGGCCTGGCGCTCCCGGTGGAATCGCTTCAAGGCCTTGTTCATGCTGCAGCCGCGCTCGCTCTCCGGTCCCTTGTTGACGAAGCTGAGGAAGACATCAGCGCGGGGCTTGAAGACAATCATCTGCCCGTCGAGGTTCTCCTCTTTGCCGTCCTTAGAACCCGGCCGGAAATCGATGAGCTTGGGCTCCTTCTTCTCATGCTTGTGGGAGGAGTGCTTCTTGGAAGAGGACTTGTGCTTGCTCGACTTGGTCTTGGGTGGGGCGCCAGCAATCATGCCAAAGAGGCTGTTGCTTGTCTGGTGGTGGTGGTGGCTCTTGTGGTGTCGAGAGTGCTTCGTCTTCTTGAGTGGGCTTGTCGGCGAGAGATCGGCGATGTTATCTCCAGAGTAATCGGGTGACGGTGGAAAAGCAGGCCGCATCATGTTCTTCAGGCCGCCAGTGAGACCAGAGTGAAGGACGGGGGGTGCGTCAGCCATGATTTGGTCGCCAGTAACATCCACGTGCAAGCGCTTCCGCTTCTTGTCCTTCTTGGCATCGCCATCCTTTGATTTCCGTCGCTCCGACTTGGGCTGAGGGGTGGCGACAGCACCTGTAGGCACAGGGCCGGTTCCGTATTGTACAAGTGGCTCTCCGTCTCGGTCCATAAGGGAAGCTGGCTCTAGGAGCTCTCCGCTCTTTGTCTCGTAGCGCACAAGAGAGGTGCTGTCGGCGGCATCAGGAGCTTTTCGGTCTCGCGCATGGCTCAGGTTCGAAGCAGTCGGGGTTTGAGAGTTGTCCAAAAAGTCAAAGACGTTGACGTGATCATCGTCGGCGGCAGATGGAGGGGTTGGCGCCTCTGGGGGAGGTCGAGACTTGTCTTCGTACTCGTGCCACGACTCATATTCTTTGTCATCGCCAGCATCCTCGACATATGGCTGCAGGGCCAGCGTGTTGGCCATGCCTAAACGATGTGAGTTCATGGTGGACTGTTGTTGTTGTGGCTGTCGTTGTTGTTGTTGTTGGTGGTGCTGCTGCTGCTTCTTGTTTTGCCTTGGTTTGTACAATGCGCCTTGGTATTTCTGCTCTTCGGTCATGCAAGTCTGAGAAATGCCATGTTAGCCCGACCAAACAACAAACCCAGATCCGAGCCAGACTCTGCCGAGTCGCGACTTACTGTATGAGAACGATATTCGACGCCGGGAAAGTATACCATGCAATCAATACAGGTAAAGGTTGCGCCTCGACAGCGACTGCGATGAGGGTCGAGTTTCTTTTTGGTTAGGACGTCACCACACGCCTATATGTAAACAAGTCAGAGGAAAGGTCGAGGCCGGGAGTTGATAAAGAGACTAGTGCAATGCAGAAGAGGTGATGCGAGATGTGGATGGATATATGAAGCGCGGTTGCGGGTAGGGGGAGGGGGAGGGGAGTTTGCGAGACAGGGGAGTGGACCCGAGGGATCAGCGGGACGTAGCAGAAGGGATGCTTGAAATAGTGTTACTTGTCTGGCGCTGAACAAGTAATACTACTAGTAGCAGTTGGGAGGGTGGTGTGCGCAAAGCAAAAGTGATGTCAGGCTATGAATAGGGCCAAGGCATATCGCATGTTGGACAAAATGACCAGGGGAGGGGCGAGCGCAGCGCCACGGGAGGGAATGGCAGACAAGGGGAGTCGACTAGACAAAGCATGGGATAGACAAGACAAAAAGCATGTAAGTTGGTTAGTGCGTACCTCGCACGAAAAAGAAACCATGTTTGCGTCGCGATTGATTGGGCGGCGCCCAAAAAAAGTTTGCCGGTTCCTGGATTCTGAGTGGCCGCAGGCCTTTTTCTCCTCGACGGGGGCTGCGATTCGACGACGAGCGGATGGAGAACTGGAGATGCAGCGGCTGCGGCAGCGTCAAGGCAGGCAGACGGGAATCCAGCTGCAGAGGACGAGGCCGGGATTCAGCGGATTGTGGTGGAGAGAGACAGAATTTTTCTGCCTGTTTTGGCCGCAGAGGCAGCTGGGCGAATCGAATGCGCGCGGTGCTTCGTGGCTCGCGGAGACGCAAGGGACTGCTTTGTGCTTTGTTGGAGGAATGCGTCTCAGGATTGAGGGCGTGCGAAAGAGCGAGAGAAGAAGAGAAAAAAAATTGCAAGAAGAAAAAATAGAATCCGATAGGCCCTGGATCAACGGGTAGAGGGAATGGAAGTGGGCGATGGGGAATGGAGGGGCGATTTTAGAGGGGGAGGGGAGCAGAAAGCCGCCAAGCAAGGCCTGGGAGTAGTGCCGGGGAAGTGAGAAGTGGCAGTGAGAAGTGAGACGAGGGGGGAAGAGAATTGATAGTCGGCAGCTGGGGGGGTTATTTAGGATTTAGTATTGAGGATTAGGCTTTTGATGGTGGTTGAGCAAGGGATCAATCACATTGAAAGGCGGTAGAGAATTGTTGTTGCTGCTAATTGTACTCTGTACCGGGCCTGCTAACGAGCACTAGAACAGCGAAATGGATGGTGGATGCCACCCTCCAGACTGGCAATCTACCTGTGGCCGCCAGAGTTTGTTGTTCGTTTTTATCCTCTGGCCAGGCAAGGCGGCTACAGCTCGTCGTACATAGTACAGCTCGTCGTACAGCTGGCCGCTGCCTCTCCCTGCGCCGCTGCACAACGACGTCGTTTTGCGGCACAGACCCATGGATTTTTCTTCTTTCTTCTCTTTCGTGTTCCAGTCCTGGCCCTATCTGGCCACTGAGATCCCTGTTGGGCACCAGGCGGTGCGGTAGGGCTTCACTTTGGGAGCAAGCGAAAAATGCAAAAAACTGCAACGAAAATCCTGCCTTGCTGCGGTGAACGGCAGAGAACCCAGATCTTGTTGCCACGGTTATGCGCACCCCCTGCTAGCTCCCAAACACACTCCCGGCAACCAAGCGCCACAACTCGAAACTCGAGTGAGGCAGCGCGGCGATTGGCTGCAGAGCTTCATTTCCAGCGACGGTCACATAAGCTAATCAATGCTGATAGACGCCCCGGCGTTACTTTAGCTTCTCTAGTGGCCGGCGATGGCGACTTTGGGGCTCTGCTGGTGATGCCGCCCAAGCAATTGTTTGGCAGGGAAGAGCCAAGGCAACAATGACTTAAGAACCCTGCCGTCGACGTGGATATCGATTTGCACCACAAGGACGAGGGTTTCCCTCTTCATGGCGGCCCAAAACAACGGTGATGACGACAACCGTGTCCAAGCCTTGCCAAGGCCGAGACGGCAAGAAGAGAATGGAAAAAAAAGAAGAAAAAAGGCGGTCTCTTTGTTGTGCAGCCACGGGGGTAGCACAAGCACCTAAAAGTCATGGGGGCCAAGGAGTGTGGTCAACAAAGACTCCATTAGTGCTGGTACGAGCGAGTGCATACGAGCACTGACGCAGGTTGCGAGCTGCTGTTTAGAGAAGCTCGCGGCTGCAAAGGCGAGAAGCCGTCATCACCGCTCTCTTGTCTTCTCCATAGCACCATGCCTGTGCCTTCCCTTGCCTTGCCTTGCCTCGCCTCGCCCAGGCTCAACAGGACAGACAAACGAACCTTGGCGGGATGGTATGGCAGCATCCGTCGCAGCTATCTCCATCCTGCGAGCGCCAATATCAGCGCCAACGCAGAGACAATGTGAAGCATGGAGAGCCAACGGACCTCGTCAGCAATCCAACTGGCAGCTGGAGAGACGGTGCCGGCGCCTCGTCAGCGCCAGGGATGGGAATGGGAATAGTAACAGACGGACAGACAGACATAAACAAGCAGCCCATGTCGACGCAGGGACGGGCCCAATCCACGACGTGACTGTGATGCGCGTCTGCCATCTTGCATTGCACCTTGGAAGGGGGAGGCTTTTGGGGCTGCGTCAAGCCCCCATTTGCCCAGCTTGCTTGCCCACAGCGAGTCTCATGGATCAGCCAGATGCAGCCAGGTCCTGCTGGGTTGGTGCTAAGGTAGTGCATGCATATTCCGTTCCATGGAATGGAGCAGGCTAATGAGAGACGGGGGCTGCGGATAGGTCTTCCGGGTGTGTATTACGGAGTGCTGTCGGTACGAATACTCGTGCTGAACCGTATGCTGCGAGTATTACGAGTATGATTGTGGCTGCTGCTAAAACAGTTACGAGATAGTATGGAACAAAGCCTCATTGCCTCGAGCCTGTTGGCTCTGGCTTATCAATGTCTCATGTTTCGGCCTCGATATTCGACATGCCCACGCAGCAAACACGCGATAACGCTCGTCGGCCGCCCATCGCCATCCGCCTCACGCGCTCCTCGTGCCACCGGCCGCTGTCCACCTCCAAAAATTCCGCAAGAGGTCATCTGTAACATTTAAAATGAGATGCGCGGCACGTGTGGCGACTAGATGCGCAGATGGATGGATGGAGATGCTCCGTCCGTGATGCTAGCAGCATTGGACTACCGCATACCTGCTTCTGGTCGGTGGAGGGAGGCATGCATGCTGCATTATGCATGTCTCAGAACACAGGGCGGGATGGTGTCAAGGTCAAGTGAATACGGGTATGATTGTCCATCTGTCGACGACTTATCATTCAGTTCAGGTTCGAAGTGCGGGCTAGCATTTTCATCATGCTGCCGCTCGACGCGAGAGACAGGCGCGCCCAGCAAGGAATGGCGTCGCATTAACTGGCTGCCACAATGTTTCAGACTGCCCAGACACCAGGCGAATGAGAGCAGCGAAGCCCGCCAATCTGAGTCCCTCAGCCAGGCCGGGCGATGCATGGTGATGAATGAGGTCAATATTGGTACTAGCCCGTGTGGTCTGCGACAACCACCACGGCAGAGAATTGCTACATGCTACTGGCACATCCGTTTCGCCCTGCTTATTCTAATGTCTCTATCCTGTGCCTGTCTTCTCGGCGCCACCTACTCGAAGCGGGATCTCCTGTCCGTTGCCTCCGGTTATGCAGGTCCAGAGGCGCACTGCTTGCAAGCGAGTCAAAGGAAGAGGCACGCCGCCTGGGCGGTGCAGATGCAGCTACAGCTACTCGTACGAGCACCCTGTGCAGTCAAGCCACGGCTAATGCTCCTCTACCTGTCGGTCATCCTTTGTACGGATGTTGTCGAATGTTATTAGTCTTTGATGGATTTTTTTTCTTTTCTGGAATGGGGGTTGTTGGTGATGGCATCATGTAAGTGGATCGTAGCATGAGCACGTAGTACTGCCTGTCAAGTTAGCCATACATTTAAGCTACCTGCCTAGCACCTACCTATAGTAAGTATTACAAGGTCAAGGCCAAGCAGGTGTTCCCTCATCCGGGCTGCGTACATCATATTACTCGTATCAAACATTACTACACGCAGAATGTGATTCACCCGAGTCATTGATGCCGTTGCAGAGGGGCGTTGAGCGGAAGACGAATGATGACACCGCTTCTGTGGTCTGTGGTCTGTGGTCCTTGAGCTCGTCAGCAATCAGCTGTTTGTCTGAGGTGAGGCTGGGCTGAAGCTGCAGCCGGTGGGCGAGTGCATGATGCAGAGCGCCTGCATTGCAGCAGCATCCAAATCCCTTCTTTTTCTCAAGCAAACAGAACAGCTGGCACCCTTCTCTGGAGTCGCCAATGACAATTTGCCTCGATGCGCCTGCCGAGGCAGCTGATATTGGCTGGGACGGAGGTAGGGAGGACCTTGTGGAGATGCGGTGAATGGCGCTGCGACTAAGGTATCGGGTGTTGCCAGTAGTATTCCAGTAGTATTCCATCGCAATCAAACAGAGCCCCAATCCAACTGACAGCTTGTCCCAGAAGAGAACCCCGGATTCCCAAGATCTTGGGCTCAGCTACTAAGTTTAGTGCTGTTAGTTGGGTAGCTCCTCGGCCCGCGAGAGCCTCACTCGACTCGCCCAGTTCAGCGCTTCGCAATTGCTGGCAGTGCTTGACGGCCAATTGACCCTGGAGACCAACTCCCAGTCCAGGCAACAAGGCTGGCGGCTAATCTTGGCCTTTGCCCGAATCAAATCACGGCAAATGGCTCGAAACGCGCCCGCGATGCCCTGCAGGGCAGCCTGGCCACAGCTCGCGCCTGGGCGGAGATTGAGCGTTTCCACTCCAATTTTCGTTGCAATCACAGCACCGGAGCTAATCAAATACTAATTGTGCTCGTACCAGATGCGCCGGTGCCGATTCAACGATTACGGAGCATCTAACCGGGAAAGCAACGGTCCGTCTGGCTCCCTGGATTCATTTGAATTGGGAAACTTTTCGGTGGTTTAATTTTTTTTCTTCCACTACTCTTTCTCTCCTCCTCTCTCTCTCTCTCTCTCTCTCTTTTCCCTCCGGTTCCCGGATTCTCACGCTCCTTTTTCCCTTTCCTTCTCGCTCCTTTCTCTTCTTCTGGCGAAACCCGGTCACCGACTCGACTGCTTTCCACCAACGAGACGCGGATGAACGCAATGCAGCCCTGACGAAAGAAATTCAACGATTCGACCTCGCCTCCAGGCAGCGGCATACAGTAGCCAATCTGCACGGTGGCGTCCAGTTCAACTGCATCCAGCGGCCGCGAGTAGATCCACGTCGACTAAGCTGACCTGTCGTTATCACCTATAATTTTTTTATTATTATCGGTTTTTATTGATTTGATTTCATTGGCTTTCTCGACGACGACGACGTCTTCTGTCTCTCTTTCGACACCCCTGACCGACAGCAAACTTTTGGCGCTTGCGAACAAAGGGTGGGCATTCGGCTGAACCGTGCCACAGTGTCTGGTGGATAAACGCGAATATCAATCTCAACAAGCGCTGGCCTCCTATCCCAACAGCTCGCCTCACTTTGTTCAGACTAGGCCCTCTTTTTTTTTTTATTCCCGACTGCTACATGTTGTCGTGTCATCGGGCTGAATTGCTGTGGCTTGGGTATGGGACCACATGCGATATTCAATCCGACGCTCGGCTGCATCACCTTCTCCCAAGAATGGAAAGATGACCCAAAACTCCAACACACCCCCTCCCGGCGCAACAAACAATAATCACCACCACCACAACAACAACATGAACGGCTACTTTGGCCAGACCGCCTCTTTCCTGACCTCTGCGGCGGGCTACATGCGCCTGCCGGCTCTGGCATCAACGGTAAGCCAGCGACACCACGGTGCATTTTGCATTTGCAGCTGCATCTGCTTGTGCATCTGCATCTGCGTTTTGCCGTTGCCATTGGAGAATCTCGACTGACCGCGAACCGTGACTCAACAGGGCATTGTGGCCATCCTCACATCTCTCCTCTACTTTAAACAAAAGTGCGTCAAGCTTACTCCCCCACCGCCGAACGTCGTTGCTGGCATTCTTATCCTTCGCGGCATCGAGCTGACAATTCATCGTGCAGGGCGCTCATTTATCCCTCTCATATGCCGCCAAACTCGCGAACCGACATCCCACGGCCTACGCAGTTCGGAATCAAGGACTTTGAAGAGCTGGTCATCCCCACCGACGATGGCGAGAAGCTCTCGGCTTACTACATTCGCGGCCCCCGTGGCGGCAAGAACTCGGACATCACAATCCTCATGTTCCACGGCAATGCAGGCAATATCGGTCACCGCCTCCCCATTGCGCGCGTCTTCATCAACATGATTGGCTGCAACGTCTTCATGCTCGAGTATCGAGGATACGGCGCCTCCACGGGCGAGGCGGACGAGGCGGGCTTGGGAATCGACGCCCAGACCGGGCTCAACTACCTGCGCGAGCGAGCAGAGACGAGGAATCACCGATTTGTTGTTTACGGCCAGAGCCTCGGTGGAGCCGTCAGCATCAAGTTAGTGGCCAAGAACCAGGACCGGGGCGATATTGCGGGTCTGATTTTGGAAAATACTTTTCTCTCCATGCGCAAACTTATTCCCTCGGTTCTTCCACCTGCCAAATACTTTACGCTGCTGTGCCACCAGGTATGGCGCAGCGAATCCCTCTTGCCGTCCATCGACAAGATTCCCATCTTGTTCCTAAGCGGACTGCAAGATGAGATTGTCCCGTAAGTTTGAACTCTACTTTTTCTTTCCATCTTTTTCCCCGGATCATATGATGAACAAATTGCATCACCCACAAAATCTGAACCATTCGTGGCTCTGATTAAAAACCTTTTTATCAAACCCTGAACAATCCCACCCAAAGCAACCGTTTTTTTTCCACGTACGAGTGCCAGATATCAAAAACTGACAAGAAATATCTGTCCAGTCCTAGTCATATGACCCAACTGTACAATGTCTCCACCTCCTTCAGCAAGACGTGGAAGGCCTTCCCTGGCGGCGATCATAACTCGAGTGTGCTGGAGGAGGGTTACTTCGAAGCCATCTCGGAGTTTATAGCTGACTCCATAAGCGACGCACCCATCACGGACAGCAAAGGCCAGTGATGGAACTGCACCTCGCCAGTTTTTGATATAACGCCGCTCAGGCATATATATCCATATCACTCTGTGGAGCATGGTGATAGCTGTATATTTTGCATCAACGGGTCTCTGCGGAAACGCCCTGACGCGTCGTCCTTTGCATGTCGGCCCCGTCTACACACCGCAGACGCAGCAAATGGGAGATGCCCAGCTAGATAGAAAAGAGGGCGGCCTGAGGCGAGACAGGCCAAGCGTGGGATGTAGGTGGTTCCCGTGCCCATGTGACGATAATATTGGGGAGAGTGTGTGTGGAGGGAGATGCGTCGCGTGATTATACCCTGCCCGAACATCTACATGTGTGTGTTTTTTTTTCTTCATCTTCTTACTGCTGAAGAGGGAGATGATTTATTCCCATGTGCAACGAATTTTAATTTTTCGGCTGCTCATCGCAATTTTTTTTTTTTTTTCTTTTTTTGTGCGTGTTCATTTTTTTTTATACACGTACACCTATATTCTCCACTGGTGAACAATCCCACGTTTACATACAGACGCGTGTTGCAAGTGATACCTTTTATTGGTTGGCTTATTCCTCTTTTTTTTTTCTCATTATTTTTTTTTTCTTTTTCTTTTTCTATTCATTTGCATGATGAGGGCAGGTAGCAGCATATAAAGTACATTACGGGTACGACACGGCCAACCAAAAAAAGAGTAGCGGGGGATTTATTAGATAGAGATTGGGTTTTGAGATTACAGAGATGCATTCATTTGCTTAGGTCCTAGAATGGGGGAGGGTTTATTCATAGATGGGATACGGCGTATGAGAAGAACGGTATTAAATAATTTTATGTTTTTTTTTTTATTGATATTTTGTGCCTTTTTTTTTTTTATTCTTATGTTCCCTTAAGTCTTTTTTGGGTGGGCTTTATGCAATATGCATGTTGGCGACTTCTTTCATCGACTTATATCCAGCAAGAAACTGCTGGAGTTGACCAAGTTGAATAACAACTTTTCATCCTCATACACCACCTAGTTGCCAATGTTGACATGTAAATCCTGTTTTGATTCGTAATAAAACCTCGTAACCTCCTTGCCCTAGAACCTCCATCAACACTCAACATCCCCTTCAAGCTGCTCCGTCCAAGACTTGTTTGTCGGCATCGCTGGCTTCTTCTTCTTCAGCCCGAGCAGCAGTCGTTTTCCAGATCCGCCACTCGCAGCAGCGGGCGTTTCCACCTTAGTCTCTTCCTTCTTCGCCGCGGCCCGGCCCGCGACGGCGCTCCAGCCCGAAGCATCATTCTTGCTAATGTCCTCCCTGCGCGAGATGTGCTCGTTGTCGTCGACGTGGCAGAGCAAGATGTTGCCTGCAATATCCAGACGCTTGATTGTGCTGTCAAGGCGAGGTTTCATGTTCTGAAGAGCCTGCTCGACGGCAGCGGGCGTGAGGAACGACGAGTAGTGCGCCGTGGCGCGGATGAGGATTTCATCAGAAGGCAGGAATGCCGTCTTGAAGTGAAAGGCCGTCTGGCTTGCGAGGTCGGCACGTATAGCGGCGTCGACATCTTCGACAGTAAGGCCGAACCGAGGAGAGGTGAGGAGAAATGCGTTGAACGGATCGACTACAACAACAGGGGGAGGGGTCGGAGCCCTTGAGTTGGAGGCGGCAGCGGCGGCTGCCTCTGCCGCCTGTGACTCTCGGATCTTGACGCACTGCGCCAGAGTCTTGCTTGGTGCAGAGACAAACTTGGCGCCTTTCCAGACGACAACGTAGCGATACGGCTCGAGATCCTCGCTCTTGCTGTCCAACCCGTAGTCTTGGGCCAGCACATGCAGGAACTGCCGCTGATGGTTGAGCATCGGCTTATATCTAAGTCGCTGCTCACTGGGGCTCTTGGAGAACACCCGGAACTCCCGCTCTTGTGTCTCTGCCCAGGCAAGGTTTTCCTTGAAGAGCCGAAGAGTAGTGTCCGAATATGGAACGTGGTCGTTGGCGTGAGAGGCGGGATCAATATTGAGAGCCGCGGCAAGGCGCCTGTTTCGCTCCAGTCGAAGGCACTCGTCATCACATTTGAGCTCAGGACGAGATGGCGTAGGATTGGAGCTGCTGGCGATACACTTGACTTCTTGCTGGCGCAGACCACAGGGACAAGCGATAGTGGCCTTGGCCGTACAGGGAGTCGATTCTTTGCAAGCTGTGTAGGACTCAGTTAGAAACTCCTCTCTTCTCCTATGAGTCGGTTGAGGCCGAGGCCTAAGCTTAGACTTACGAGTCTGACCATGGCAGGGGTTCTGGCAAGCATGGTCACAGAAAAGTTTCGTCTTGCCGCAGACTTGGCCACAAGTCTGACTGGAACTTGCGCTATCCTCACACTCTCCTGGCCTGTGGCACAGTTTCCGGCACTTGTGCAATCTAGAAATACCGAATCAGCAACATATTAAACGATGGTAGGTAGGTTAATAGAATCCTAAAAAGAAACTCATGTCACGTACCCGCACTTCAAACTCTTCCCGCAAGGTCGACCACAGTGCGCTGCTTGAAGATGGCAGGGCTGGCTATGCAGCTTCTCCTTGCCGCAAGCACACCACTTGTCCACCAAAAACGGGCACTTGGGACAAGATATGTCGTCCATATGGCAGTTATGCTCAACAGGCGGGTGTCCGCAGGCTGGCCTCCTCTGGCAGTTAAATCGACACTCCGGTGCGTGAGTGCCGCAGGGCTGTGGCGGTTGGAGCACCGTTCGGCCACAGTTGCAACTTATCTCATGGAAAATGGCTTCGGGACAACTTGCGCATGCTCCACGGTGGCACATCTGCTGGCAGTCATGGCTGCCGCATTTCAGCGGCCGCCCACAGGTCCGGATGCAGATGTGCTCGGCTTCGACGGCAGATTCCCCTGGTGGTCGGTTTTTCCTCTTGCTGGCTGCCTGCCTCTCCGCAGCCTTCTTCTCTCCTGGACAGCAGCGCTCGCCACACTTGTGACGACCACAGCTCAGATTCGCCTGGCACGTTCTCGTGCACCACGGCTGTTGGACATTTCCTTGATGACAGACGGATTTAGATGTGGTTCGCCCACATCGGCATGAAATGTCAATCACCTCCATACAGAATCCACAATCACCGGTATGGCATTTGGCTTTGCAAAGGTGGCCACAAGGGAGGAGCTTTTCACAAACTCTATCACAATGAGGCACTGGATCCTCGCAAGATTGCCTTGGGGCCTGTAGGAAATTCTCAAGCGGTGTCTTGCCACACGGGCAATGGGTAACCACGTCGGGGGAAAGGGGGCAATGGGCCGGCTGCTCATCTTGGGCGTGGCAGATTGCAGAGCAGCTGTGAGTCCCACAGTCGAATTTCCTCTCGCAAGGCGTCAGGCAGCTGAAAGAACCTTCAAACCAGGAGGCATCGTCTACGCTATACGAAGACTGTACATCCTGCCGCTCAAAGCAAGGGATTTTCTTCTCAACACGCCCGCAGTAACACTTTGCTTCAACCTTGAGATCGCAATCTCCACAGAGTCCGGGATGACAGGGGTTTGGGCAAAAGTGCTCTCCGCAGGGCAAAAGATCGCCGCAGATCTCCTGGCAGCTCCAACCATTTTCATAGTCGGTTTCTCTGCACAACTTCTGCGAGGTATTCTTCCCACAGAAGCAAGACTGCGTAGGGCCCACAAGACCACAAGGCGGGCATGGCCCGGCATGGCATTGAAGGCCACAAGGGTGTGGGCACGTTCCTCGAGGCTTCGAGCATGTCTGTCCACAAGAATGCGGGGGGAGCGATGTGCTGGAAGGCCTCGGGTTGATATCTTTTCCACACCAGCAGTGGTACGCGCCCGGTTCATCGGACAGCTTGGAATTACAACCCGGGCATCTCCATAAATTCTCCGGTTGAGACTCTGTTGGTGGCCGGGCAGCATCCTGCTTCATTTGATTGTGATACCACTTCTTGGCACACTTGAGATGGACAACGGTCCAACAGACGTTGCAGGACCAAACGTGAGACTTCCGGAGGACTTCGTCCGTGCACACTGCACACTCGTAGTTTCCATGGCTGATATCCTCATGAATCCTGGTTCCAAGGTCTGCGGCGGTTGACTTGGGAAGTTTAGCCTCGGGCTGTTTAGAAGCCTCAGATTGCCTTGGCTTGCTAAATGGTCATCAGTAATTACTACATAGCTTACGGATACAAACTGCTGTGTGGCCAGACTACTTACACCCTCGGCAATACTGGCTGGCCAGGGACAAACTCAGGAGCTTCCGCACTTAGTGAAAGAGCTTCTGATGGCGTTTCTTCCGCTTCAACAGTGAGATGCCCGCCAAATCGCCGTGTCGGACCCGGCTGCGGAGCTCGAGGGGCGCTTTGCCTGGCGCCACCTCGCTCACCTTGCCGCGGCCCTCTTCTGCTGCTTCTTCCTCCGCGAGATGATCTTGAAGGGTTTGAAGAGGGCGTTGTTTCCTGTTGTGATGGAGCTGGAGTTGATGTGGTAGGGTTCTCTGAATTCTCGGTCTGCGAGACGGGCTGCGCCTGAGTTCCTTGAGCGGGACCTGCATGATGCCCTCGTCCTCTGCCGCCACGGCCCCTGCCTCTGCGACCTCGTGAAGCCCCTCTAGAGGCACCTTGAGACTGGCTCTGAGCCTGTGAAGCTTCGCCTTCGGGCATGATTACAGCTGAGCTCTGAGGAGAGCTTCTTTGTGGTTGATTTGTGCTTTGATCGTCGTGGTGCATGAAAGGTTGGTAAGGCTGAATGAGAAGATGTATATGAGTTTGAGGCTCCAAGCTGGGCAATGTCGCGCTATCGCACAAAACGACGGCTATAAGCAATCCGAACAAATTAAATTTACAATGAGGAGACGCAGTTGAGAGCTGTAGCGATGCGCAAGAGGCGCTCGAGGCCTTGATATTGGAAAGATGGAATCTTTGAAATTCATCAAAACTTTGGTGGGGCACGGTACAATGGTTGATTGGCAGGTACTGTGGCAAAGCGGCAAAGCCTCACACAAAGGACTGCTGACAAAGGCATCGTTCTGCTGCTAAGATGTGAGTCACTGAGATGCGGAGAAGATAAAATTGGCCAATCCAACCGTCTGTGGTAAAATGAAAATTTTAAGAGTCATAATAGCAGCACGATGGAGTCAGCCTTCCTAATACTGCAAAAACAATCGAGGGTTTTGTCGTTTGTTGACTCAAATCCAGGGGCGTAGTCCTGTGGGCTTATTTTGAACAATAATGGGAGGGTTGTACAGCACTCAATAATCTGCCTGCAAATTCACATCTCCGTAGGTACTTGTAGGAATGGGGCGGTGCGCCAACTGCAGAGCCAATGACTGGCCAATGAGAAGTTTTTTTTTTTTTTTCCCTCTTCCCAAAGTCCATGATAGATAGTGAGCTGAATATGGTAGATTGAGAAATGCGTGGTAGCAGGAGTAAGAGGTACATACTGATAATACCGAGGACGTGGAGTTATAAACAAGAACCAGGCGATTTCTATGCCAGTGCTACCCTGTAGCTCCGTGCAAAGCGTCACGTAGTTTGCATTGAACAATTGATAGACCTTTTAATACGGGCCATTGTGATTATATGTTAGATGGTGAATTTTTATAATTGCTCCAGCTAGTTTGAATGGTATGATATTGAGTCTCCTCTCTTTCTTTTCTTACTTGGCTACTTGGGCACATCGCAAAAGACGTCCCTACCCCACGTCAAACGTTAAAACGTCACGAAAATTGGGCGGTGCGGGGAGATTTTTTTTGTTTTTGTCCTGCACCCTACTAGCTACGGTCTGTAGGCATGAGAGATTCAATATTAGTCCACCTGGGCAGCCCAATGTCTTGAAGCTCACGGCAGCAACATCACTCTACAACATTTCCACCAAATACTGAAGATAAATTACTTTACTAACTACATGTAGTTTTCACTGCCATAGAGGTCCTACATGTTTATGCCGATAAACCCTCTGAGCATGAGCTGCGAGGCAAGGAACCCTGGGAGAACGATGGCAGAGAGTCCAAAGATAAGCTCTAGACTCTCATTCTAACAACCTGAGAGCGAGATTGTTTCTGGCGGTGAGTTCAATGCTATCAATAGCTTTTTTTAGTCATGATCAGGAGATGGAATATATTAAAGTGGCTTGAGCGGCTGAGACCAATACACCAATAAAGGTAGGCCGCATACCAGCCGCCCTGGGGCCGCACCCGAGAGAGCACACCAATATCAAGTACAATCGTGCATGCAACTTGGATTGGCCGAGTTTCTTGGCGTCCACCGCATCTGGAGGGTGTTGTGCCCGTTTTGTCGATGAGTGTGATGAACGTACATTCAACCATACGTAAACATGGCCGCATGCTCTTGGTCATGCAGGGCTCGGTATCAAGTGAGACTATTCATTTTCCATATACAATCTCGGTAGATACGCCACAAAACCCCTTTATAGCCATGTAATAGATAGGTCCAGTCACTTCTCATTGAGACAGCTAGTCGTGGCATGTATTGCTGCTCCTTGATACTGCTAGTTTGACTCAGATGCAATGCTGAAGGAGAAGGGGCAGGGGATCAAAGGCGGCTGCGAAGGCTCGCTACACATACTCTGCATTAGCCAGCGCAGAGCAACCCCAGTTTCAGCAGCTTCTCTGGAGTTGACGATTGTTTGGATTCGCTGCCTTCCCTGGTCGTCACATACTGGGCGCAACTAGTTCTATGCACTTCGTATCGAACAATGGTTGCGCTCTCATCACAGCACGCATCACCCCGAAAGCGGATGATGTTAAGCCCAATGTGGTGCTGCTGGGTTCAAGACGAGACTCGGGCGCTCCCCAAGGCAGCCATTCATGACGGCGAGGCGCAATTCTGTGTGTTCAGCTGCATGAGCGTACATACTGTATCCATTACTACGTGGATGTTCAAGTGCATGTAAACGATAACGCAGAGCTGCTGACAGGGGGGAGACTAGTGTCTGTTGCTGGCAAGGATAGGACTGCTGATAAGTTCGTAAGTCGGTGCGGCTGATTGTCCCCTTGGCTCGATTCCGCGTGGATAAGAGATCGGCTGGGATGCCCCGAGAGTGGGAATTGACGGACGGGATGTCGTTGGGCGGCATGGCGCAGTCTATTGGCCGCGGCGAAAAGCTCCTGGTCCAGCACCGCACATGTATCCATTCAACCATTGTCCACGTCCCAATGCTTGCACGTACTTGTACAACCACCGCTGGATCGCTTTTGCCGATACGAGATGCGGCCTGAGCGCCATGCATGAGCGAGGCCAGGCTCGGAACAAATCTCTTGCCCAGGACAGCTCTATTGCCCTTGGCATCACCAGATGGAGAAAACGAAGGGCAAGGGCCCGCACTGTCGACATCCGAGGCCTGCATTCCACGTGCCTGTGGTTGGTTCTTCTACTTGTAAGGTGGTGATACGATACGATACTGTGCGTGTACGGGCATTGCCCAGCATTAGGAAGTCGGCGGGTGTCGGCCAATAGACGCCCGGAGCATCGAAGGATGTGTATCTGGGCCCAAATCTCGCACCCAACAGTGGCAGCAATAGTAGGATTGAGCTGGCCGTGCATGAATTAGCCCTGTGGAATAGGCAATACCAAGCACTCGTAATAGCGAAGGAAAACGGTGGGTGCGCTACAGTGCCTCTACTGTACCTGTAATGCTCGTATGTGCTCGTATGCACAGGCAGAGACAGGAAACGAATCAACTGCACCGCCGTCTTTGTGCTTCCGGTGGCGGGGTGGTTTTCATGCAAGAGGGCATCCCAAGTGGCGGCAAGGGGAGGGGGCTATGAACAATTGGATGTCACGTCTCTGTTTTCTCTTCCCTTTTTCTCTTACTTTTCTCTTCCCCTTTTTTTCGTTTGTTTCCTTTCTTCTTCCTGTCCCTGGCATGATTAGTTTGAGCCGGTGCTGACCCCTCCGCCAGTAGAGTTTTGTTGTTGTTTTCTCAACCAAAAGCACAAAAGCAGAGACTCCGTGCATCATCGGTTGCCAAGACGGCGCGCGGAATCCACTGCCCACAAATAAGCACTTGGCAAGTGTCTGTCATTGTGTACTCGTACATAGTACCCAGGTACCTTGGCTCTGCAGACTGCGAGGGGAGCGTCTGCATGGGGTTTGGCTTGGGACAGGACCAGCGAGCTGGACACGCTCGGTTCGGTGCATTGCACTGGACTATTGCAGTACGATTACCAGCAGTACGAGTACATGTACTCGTACCATGTAATTGCCCACCTTAGTAGGTACCTAGGTAGGTAGGGAGTGCACAAGTACAAAGTAAGATGCATGACAAGACCAGGCCGTGCAAAGTCTATCTGGGCGAGCACGGGGGATTCCTTGCTCAGCAAGGCAGTAATAGTACCCAGTAGTATTATGCAGCATGTGCATACGAAGTACGGTAGCAGCACGGAGTATTACGAGTATTAGCTGTGTGTGTGTGTGTGTGGCTACCCTGGTTTTGTCGTTGGATGGTCAGTCGGCTTCCAAAAGCCGGCAGGACAAAATTAGAAATGCTCGCAAATGGCATGACGTTTTGGCCATTGATGTTATTACCGAACATGTACATGTACAGTGCATGTACTTGCTTGCTATAGTAGCATCCTCTCAGAGCAGCAGTTAGAGTAGCAGCAGCAGCAGCAAGGGAGAAAACAATGGAAGAAGCCAAGCGTCGTGGTAACAAGAAAAAAAAAACTCAACAGCATGTTTCAGGTCTCGCGCAATACATACTTTCTTTGTACTCGTACGCTCTCCGCTGATTGTTGCCCGTTCTGTTGTCAAGACTAAAAAAATGGCGTCGACTTGGCTGCCGCCGCCAATGAATCAAGCCCGAGTTTCCGTCCACACACCAAGCGGCCCTTTTTGTAATCCAATTTTTTAATTTTTATTTTTTTCACTGGCCTCTTCCTCGTGCCTTAGTTCAGCCTGAAGAGGGAACTGTGCCTGAGCCACCTCAGCTTCGGCCAATCCCCAGCTGGCTAGTCTTATCATGCATGTTGCAGCCTCCAGGGGAACGTTGCCAGAGACAAACTCCGTCAAAAGTCCCGATAGCCAGCCGACGAGCCTCGGTGTGCCTGATGAAAAGTCTAATATCAATATCATACCAGACTCGACTCCGTAGACTGGCTGGCTTTTGCTTCTACTTCAAGTCCCGTCATCATCCTAGCGCACTGAATCCGATCCGTACTTTGCTGGGAGATGCCCGCAGCGATCCTGGCCATGGATAGACAGGCTAGGATCTAAGCCTAAGCCTAAACTTTGATTCGCTCCATGTGCCGTGTCAATATTCTTGTGTGGATATTGCAGGGCCGTTGTGGCGCCCAGCACCTGAGGTCATTCTTGATTCTTGGTCCTTCAGCCCCACGACGCCGCGATAATATTGAATCGACTGACCCAATATTTATCCCGGGGGAGACAAGATACTCGTACAAGTGCGCCTGATTGCATGCCGCATCTTATCACACACATGCGGTGCTGTGGCCCAAGCATCTCCGGTGGCTGCACAGTCCCAGGCAGGCTCCCGGATGATCAAATAGTCGTACCACTGGGTGTTCAGCTGCTGCGGCGTGGGTGGTAGCATTGAAGTAATCCTCCTAGCCGGACACTCGTTTAGGCACCATCCAACGCATGCCCGATGCACAATGCGTTCAGGTTGTTGAGCTTTGGTGAAGCCGTAAGAAACCTTGGAACTTCTAGCCAATGCTACTAACCACTGCTAGTGCTTGTGCCTGTGTTGCTAGCCATGACTAGCACCGCTAGAGCATCGAAAGGATGGATGGCCCGGAGTGCCGAGCCGTGCCTCGTATTGCTGGCGCCAGTTGATGTGCTGTACCTGTACCTGTACTTGTGCCTGGCTGGATGGAATTTTTTTTTCTCTCTCTCGCATCCAGGGCTGGGCTACTATACCTTAGCACCTCCTGCTAGTACTGGGTGATATTCCCACCATCATCATAGCGCCGTGATCCAGCTCCCCCACTACCCGCAGCCTTCTATCGGGACGCTGTGGCTCTTCGCTGGCCTTGCGGGGGTCTCTCTTGGCTCCGGCATTGCAGGACGCCAGGTTTGCTCATGAGGTGATACGAAACGAAACGAAACGTCACGATGCTGAAGATGGCGTCTCGTGACCTGGCCTCTCTGTCCGTCTATTTGTCGCCCTGCTTCGGCTGGCTGCAGACTGCTGAAGACAACAAGAACCTGTCCCTGATATCGGCCACGTCCATCTAGCTCAGGCTGCTCGACTCCGGCTGACCGACCCTGGATCGAGACGGGGGGTGTGGCTCTCGCCTGCATACGCGCCCTACTGGATTCTGATTCTGCGTGGATGGACAAACAATTGCTCATGCGGCGGATCCAGCACCTCTGCCTGTGTGAGTGGCTCCTTGTCCCCTGCGCGCGCTTTGCTGGATAGCCTGGGATGGCATGATGGCCCAGCTCTTGGCTCAGGTCCAACCTTGGGCGAGTCTCGATCCTGGCCGTGTGAATACTAGGAAAACATGCTGGAACTATTATGCCAAGTCTCCGGCCTGCCGCCTCAGCCCCATTAGTCTCTTCCGAATCCCAGGTAGGTAGGCTCTTCTGTCCCTGGGCTGCCATCGCAGCAACTTTTCCTCGCCGAGTACAAGAAGCTGGGGGTTATCCGCAATTGGGCGTTGCTGTTCCTCTCTTCTCTCTCGTTCAACCCCTAAGCCGACTCTCATTTGGTTTGGGCTCTAATACATCACTCGTTTCGCTGTTGCCTCTTGCCATTGGCGAGAGCCACAATCTGCAACCATGAAGCCTTCTCCGGCGGCTTCCTACTTGTCGATCTCTCTGTTATCTCTGACGTCGTGCCACGCTCAGCTGCTCCAGAAGCGCGCTCTCGTTGCGCCGCCCTCGTTGGACAATGGCTGGACATATCAGGGATGCTACATGTATGGCGTCTTCCTTTCCCCTCTTGGCAAACTTTAGCTTGCATTTGCTGACTGGAGCAAAACAGCGATGTTGGACGTACAATTGGCGATGCGTCCATCACTGATGATGCAATGACCAACCAGGAATGCGCTACTTATTGTTTTGAGCATGACTTCCCTTATGCGGGAACGGAGTACTACACCCAATGCTACTGCGGCTCCAGCCTGGCAACGGGAGGTGTAAATACGACTGCGACGGACTGCAATACTCCATGCGGCGGCAACTCGACTGAGGCCTGCGGTGGCCCCAATCGGCTTACTCTGTATAAGACGGCTGAAATCACTGGTCCCCAGGTCAACCCGGGCCCCCCCGGATGGACGTCCAAGGGATGCTATTCGTAAGTTTGCGAGCCCTAAGCATGCAGCCAGATCCCAAGACCAAATCCAATCTTGCTAACACATGCTGGCAGCGAGGGCACCACTGGGCGAGCTTTGACGTTTGGCTATGGCGACGTTGCCAATAATCTGATGACCGTGGCCGTCTGTACAGCGGGATGTAAGGCTGCTGGATATACATTCGCTGGTGTCGAGTACGGCGGAGAGTGCTGTGAGTGGTCCAACGCCTGCCAAGCGGGCCACACCCCGTGTGTGACGGGGTGTGGTTTTCGTATTCTTTTGCTTCTTCCCCTCCAGATAACATAGCTGACCACTGATGATCCATTCCGACATGCAGACTGCGGCAAGACAATCTCCAATGGAGCGCTGCCGGCAACGAGCGGCTGCACTATGACCTGCAATGGCAACAGCACCGAGTACTGTGGAGGACCTGGCCACCTGAACATTTACAGCCTCGATTCCGTCAGGTAAGCAAACAGACGCAGGACGATGAATGAAGCTAGGATAGCGGCGATCCTTCGTATTGAGGCAATGCTAACCTGGCTTGTGCAGCTCCGGAACTGCTACCGGTACTGGTTCTGTGGCTCAGCCCAGCCAGACTGGTGTCTGTCCAGGCCAACCAGCTCTGGTGGGCAAGTACAACTGGTACGGCTGCTATACCGAAGGAACAAACTCACGAGCTCTCTCCGCAAAGACGTATGCGGATGACGCCATGACCTTGGAGAGCTGTGCAACCTTTTGCGCGGCATACACATACTTTGGTGTCGAGTACAGCCGAGAATGCTATTGCGGCAACTCCTTTGGCGCCGGCTCCAAGCTCACTACGGCATCCGACTGCAGCATGACTTGCAGTGGTCAGGACTGTGAATTCTGTGGTGCCGGCAACCGATTGTCCGTCTACTCGCTCAATGCTCCGGGCACGGGCACCTCGTCTGGAGGCCCCCTCCCCCCCTCCACCACTTCAGCCACGACGCAGCCGACGGGACTCCCTCAAGGATGGCAAGCCTATGGATGCTACGTCGACGGTGTTAACGGCCGCATTCTTAACACGCAGCTCCCCGACAATGATGACCTGACCCTCGAGTCCTGTGTTCAGTCCTGTGCTTCTCAAGGATTTACTATTGCTGGCGCCGAGTACTCCAAGCAGTGCTTCTGCGGTAACAACATCGTCAACGGCGGCGTCAAAGCTACTAACCAGGCCGACTGCAACACTCCTTGCTCCGGTGACGCATCCGAAAACTGCGGCGGCGGCGGCAGAATGAGCATCATTTCCAAGGGAGCACCGACAGTTGAGGCCCCTCCGGCCCCTGTCCAACACGTTGGCAACTGGACCTACCAGGGTTGCTACGAAGACAATGTCAACCAGCAACGTACCTTCTTCTGGCAGAACATCTTCGCCAACACCATGACCCCTGAGCAGTGCCTTAACCAGTGTGCCGCGTTTGGCTACATGGCTGGCGGCCTGGAGTATGGCCAGGAGTGCTACTGCGGTGACCCAGCGAACATCCAGACGGCTGGTGCTACTAAGAGGCCCGAGTCTGAGTGCGGCGTTCCCTGCCCGGGTAATGGCAGCGCTATCTGTGGTGGTGGTTCTCGCCTCAGCACCTATTTCTGGACCGGAACGCCCTTCTATTCTTGGAGCTTCCCGGAAGCTGGGACCGCGGCGGCTGGTTCTTATGAGCAGCTCATCGGTGGTGTCTGCATTCCCCTGATGACCACCCAGTCCATCACCGGCAAGGTCACCTTCCTTGAGAAATGGGGCACTGGTGAGCCCAACTCGACTGGTGCCTATGAGCTCGACCTGTCCCTCGTCAACCAGTACCAGCTTGCATGGCGAGAGATGCACGTCAAGACGGACATTTTCTGTGCCGGAGGCGTCACTCTTCCCGACAAGGCCGGCCGACAGCTTACTGTCGGAGGATGGTCTGGTGATTCCACTTATGGTGTCCGCCTGTATACTCCTGACGGCTCGGCTGGTGTCAACGGCACCAACGACTGGCAAGAGAACGTCGACATCCTGAAGCTTCAGAACGGTCGCTGGTACCCCACTGCCATGAACATGGCCAATGGCTCCGTGCTCGTCATCGGTGGTGAGACTGGATCCAACAGTGCTCCTGTCCCGACCCTCGAGATTCTCCCCTTTACGGGTACCGCACCGCTCTACATGGAGTGGCTTGAGCGTACCGACCCCAACAATTTGTATCCTTTCTGTACTGTCCTGCCCTCTGGTGGCATCTTTGTTGCCTACTGGAACGAGGCCCGTATCTTGGATGAGAACACCTTTGCCACTATCAAGACTCTGCCCAACATTCCTGGTTCCGTCAATGATCCTCTTGGTGGACGAACTTACCCTCTTGAGGGAACCGCTGTCTTGCTGCCCATGCACGCCCCCTTCACTGAGCCTCTCAACATCCTCATCTGCGGTGGTTCTACCGAGGGTGCCTCGAATGCTATAGATAACTGTGTCAGCACTTATCCCGATGCTGCCAACCCGACCTGGGCTCTTGAGCGTATGCCTTCCCAGCGAGTCATGCCTTGCATTGCTCCTCTTCCTGATGGCACCTACATTATCATGAACGGCGCTCACCACGGTGTTGCTGGATTCGGTCTGGCTACTAGCCCCAACCTGAACGCCCTCCTCTACGACCCTCAGAAGCCCCTCGGCTCCCGTATCACCGTTATGGCGAACACTACCGTCGCTCGTCTGTACCACTCTGAGGCCATTACCCTGCTGGATGGCCGTGTGCTTGTTTCTGGCTCTGACCCGCAGGATGACGTTAACCCTGAGGAGTACCGTGTTGAGACCTTCACCCCCCCTTACCTGAAGAGCGGCAAGCCTCGCCCAAGCTTCACCATCACCAACAAGGACTGGGGCTACAACAAGCCCATCACCGTCACCCTCGGTGCCGCTGCTCGAAATGGCGCCATCCAGGCTTCTCTGCTTGGTGCCGTCACCAGCACTCATGGTAACTCCATGGGAGCTCGCACTCTCTTCCCTGCCATATCATGCCAAGGCACCGCTTGCACTATCACGTCTCCCCCATCCAAGTACATTGCTCCTCCTGGCTGGTATCAGCTCTACATTCTGGATGGCGGAATCCCCGCCGTTGGTGTCTATGTCCGCATCGGCGGTGACCCGGCCCAGGTCGGTAACTGGCCTAAGGGCACTGGCTTCACAACTCCAGGTGTTTAATTTCAATTGTTGGATTGTTTAATGTTTCTTGTTTTGGATATGACGGATGTTTTAAACTTTTTAAACTATTCTTATGTAGAAACTTGGTTGAAGGAACGTGGGATTAGGCTTGCCTGGAATTCAAAGGCAACCCATGGGTAATAGAATTGGGAAGGGAGGAAAAGGGCACAGAGACAAAACAGAAATAATATACCCTTAAGAACACGGTTTCGTTCAGACGGTAGCTATGAGGGTGATGGTGAGCTTGTCGGTATATGTCATTTTTGAATGTACGAATGCAAATTATTTTTGTTATTCCTGATTACCGGATTTGGTGATGTGACAATAACCTTTTGTACTCCGTAATTGAGATGATTTAATAATTGTAAGCATATAAACGCTGTCCTGAGCTGTCGTATATCATATTTTGTTTTAGGTGACCCTACACTCCCGTTCCTGAGTTGCGGCCGCACAGGGACAAGTAGTGATGTTGCGCTATTCTTCCTCTTCGGCGACGTCTATTGTGTATCGCATCAGGCCATTCAATGATTTAATTGGCTTAATATTTAATTTGTATGATATTGAATTAAGAGAATTAAAAAGATGAAAATACAAGTTCCTCTAGATATACGTAGGTAGTAATTGATAACAATACCATGCGTCGTATTTTGTATGCAGCAAAGCAACGTCTATTTGCTGGGCGCTGGCGAAGCACGTGACCCGCATGCTTTCCTCTTCGGCCTCCAAATTTCGGCCGACATGGGTAAAATCAACGCCGCTGACAACGACGAGATCGGACTTTTCTCGCCCTCCAACAACCCCTTCAAAAAAGAGCCTCAGCGGCAGTCCACGTCTCCCCGCGTCCCGAACCATCTCTCATCCATCCTCTCCAAAATGGCTGCCCTCGCAAAGGCCATCAACGCCAAGATCCGGTCCAACCCGATGCTGAGCTATGTCTGCACGACTCGTACGTGTCAAACCTTCTCGAGTTTCTTTGTTTTCTACATCGGGACCCAAAAAAAGGCGCCTGGGTGCGCGGCTGTGAGGGGAATCGTCTTTGGGCGATAAATCGCGCCAAATGCCTCTTGCTCGATTTTCTCGCGCTCGCTTCTTCCCCAGATGCGGTGCCCTTTGCCAAGCACCCCGGGCGAACTTGAACATGTCTGGTTCCCAGGGAATCCATAAGCTAACATTACCTCGCAAATAGACTTCTGGGGACCTGTATCGAACTTTGGCATTCCAATTGCCGCCGTTTTGGACACTCAGAAGAGCCCTGACCTGTAAGAAAGCTCTCCCTACAGCTCCGATACGCTGTCCCGCCGATACCGGCTTATTTGCTTATCTCCGTGGTTTTGTTATATAGGATCTCCGGACAGATGACCGCTGCCCTTTGCGTCTACTCTGCGACTTTCATGCGATACTCTCTTGCCGTCTCCCCCAAAAACTACCTCCTGTTCGGATGCCACGTCATCAACGAGGCCGCGCAGCTGACCCAGGGCTACCGATACCTGTCATGGCACCAATGGGGTGGAAAAGAGAAGGCAGCGTTGGAAGCGGGTGCTGAGGCTGGCAAACAGACGGCTCCTGCTAAATAATCAACACCAAAAGGGGAACTTGTTTGAGCAATGGGACTGAGATAATGAACCGATGGATAGGGTCACGCGGAAGAAGTAGGAAGGAAGACACATTTCGCGGCATGATACCGCGGGGGGACCGGGTTGATGAGAAGCTAATCTGAGGAAGTCGCATCTCGAGACTAGGAGTTTTCAGTGACTTATAGACTCTCTCTTATGTGCTGAAGATTTGTAGTCGTTGGGCCATATGCTTGTATATCCGGATGCTTTGTTGAAGAGGTTTGAGTGTTTAAGGCGGTTGGACAAAACAGCAAGGCTGGATAATAGAAACGGACCAATGCTTGAATCGTGGACTCTATATAAGGTGACTTGAACATTTCGTCTTACAACCTACCTAGCAATAGCTCTAGAAGCAACATGTGATAACACGTGGTTTGTGCCTTGCATTATCTGTACTAGGCCCCAAGCGGTGGTATGCAGCGAATAGAGATCGGATCTGGAGGTGATACAATTCAAAGGGGGAGGCATCACGGCACCTATTGTTTCAAGGAAGAAGTGACGCTGTCTCCAAACATCTCCTGGATAGGGAAATGGTAGGCATGTGACCTTGGTAGGCATAGTATGGTTGCTACTTTGGGCTTTGCGTCATGTGGGCCAAGCTACAGTGACAGGAGAGAAGGTGGCTGACACGCTCCTGTTTTCTAGAAAGAAAAAAAGGAGAAAAAGATTAAAGATGACGGGATCCAGGAAGATCCCATGACGGAGCACAGAGTACATGGAACAAGTACATGATGTACGCGGGCCTGGCTGGGCTGAGACTCGGGACTTGCAAGTGGCCGCCCGAGGCTATCCTCTTTTAACCGGGGTTAAGACTGGCTAAGAATTGGTGACAAGATGTTTGATATGAGGTATTACAATGGGCTTGATGGATAATCCAGTGTTGACTAATATATAGGGGATCTAGCCAATCAAGGTTGGTGGGAATGATGGATGGTTGGTGGAACGATTCATGTGCTGCTTGTTGAGACAGTCTTGGAGGAGGTGTATACACACACGAGCAGAAGGAGAATGATTAACCTCTCAAGAGATCAGCACAATGCTAGCTTGGAATTGCCAGAGTGGCTGATACTACGGCCAAGCCAAGAGTTTCAATTTCGGTGACTATGACTTATGACTTATTCCAGCTTCAGTCTACGTTACATACGCTGAGCCAATGGAGGATCCGACGTCGGAGAAAGCTCGCCCTTTGGCAATGGCTGGCTGTTCAACAATCTTGGACTCCGTCCGGAGAGGCTAAAGATGCAAGGCGGATGATTGCAATTCGCTCGATTCGATTTAGGCGACGGGATTTGTCTTGGGATAGCGATAACCTGGCGCGCTAATCGGCCTTGTGGGATACGGATATGAAAGAAAAAAAAAAAAAAAAAAAAAAAAATCTTCAACTAAAGTGACCAGATCCCAAAATTGTGTCACAGCAGCCAGGGGGGCCAATAAGCCGACTTCAGGCGCCATTTAATACCTCCACCCAGCGCTAGATGGCGATATCCAGTTGATGGCTGAGGGTAGTGCAAGTCGGCTTCTTGCGCCGAACTCGAGCTAGGCGGGGAGCTCATTCGTCAGCTGGGTTGGGGGGCTTTTTAGATCTCGGGTTGCATCTCACGTTCCTTATTGCACACGGAGTACATCTGCAAGATGTGCCGCCACGACTAGATCGGCCTCGAGCTACTACTAATCTACTAATACACTGCAGTACCTGAGAATACGGGGTCCAAGATGCGACGGATCCGAAGACGGATCCAGCAACACCCTCGGGCCGGCGTTACGACACCAATTACGTTAGGCACTTCCTCCGAGCCGAGCAGATGGCCAACAGGAGGCGGCAGCGCGGCTCAAGCGATGCTGCAACGGATGATCATCACGCGGACTGGCGAAAATGATCGGGCAGGACGAAGTGAAGTCGTGTCGACATTTTCCGAGTTTATTGCTGAGTGAGCATCAGCCGCGTCTAGGCGAGCTCTCGCGAAAACCAGCAGCTTCTCATCCTCGGCAAAGCCATGCCAGCAGAGAGGACGCGAGTGAGGAGTGAGGGGGTCTTGCCCAATGGCCCAATGGACCAAAGGCAGCGCCGGGATTGGATTGGTGAGACGGCGTGGGCGTCATCTGGGACGGAGTTCATGCACGATCCAGATCCAAAGTGCTTGCGGACGGATTACGTATCTTGGTTTGGTGGTGCGCGTGGAATTCGCAGCGGCAAGCACTTCTAGCTCCGGACGAGACGAGCCAATTCTGTGCTACTCGTAGTCTATGTCCAGGAGCCACTCGAGGGAAAATCCCAACCTTGGAAAGCAACTGCGACAACGGCGGCTGATGCCATGTTGCCTCAACTCCATCTCTCTCAGCAAGCCTTCTTGGCCTGGTGGATACGAATCTGGTAGTATCTCGCACAGTCCGCTAGGCCGGTATGCGCAGATTTAGTACCCAGGACGCCGCAGAAAAGAGCACAGGCATCCCGCTCTGGGGACGAAGCTTAATGTAACAGCGCCAAACTTGTAAGAGGCTGCGTTATCCCGGGAGGCTGATTGGCCCGAGGGAAAGGCTCCGCCCGTTTGAGCTGGAATCGTCGAGCTAATGGTGATACAGCGTGTTAGTGGTAACGATCAAGCTTAGCCCCCAAATGGTGGGAGTACAATCTGGTATGTAATGGGAATGACTCTGCACATTGGTGTGCTAGCACATGATAAGATGGTGTAAGAAGAGCATGACGGAATAATAGAGGCAAGAAAGAAAAACCTGGAAGAGAGATATTTTCGAGACACACATTGAAGTGTCATAGTCAACAATATCCAACCGTAAAAATTTTCAGGCGGGCGCAGGGCTTGGTTGACAAGCTCCTCTCCCCCCTCATCTGGGTTGTGCTATGTCTGGTTGCAGCCAAGCCTCGCTGGTCAAACATGAGATCAAACATTCATGTCTCTTCTGTTGCAGGTCTCACCGGCAGATCCATCAGCTGACCAGAGGCTATTGGAAAGCTGAGACAAGCTGCGATGCTTGATCCTGTTCTGTTGCCCACTCACCACTGCATCCAACACCATTTTGCTCGACGCCGTAGCCGCCATATTCCAGATTCATGCCCCTCCCTTATACCGCCAATCTTGGCCCAGGGAGAACAGCCGCTACAGCAAATAACGTAAGGACGCATCTGCCCCAGGCCATGTGTTCGCGTGGGCGAGCCAGAGTGGGCGCCCGTCGAGAGAGTCTGTGTCACGACGGCATGTTTGGCGTCTCGAGTTGCTGAGCTCGGTCCACTCTCGCTCCTGCTCGCGGTGGCTCGGAGATTTTGGTTCTGGCTTCCGCGGGGGATCAAGATGCTCCTGGATTCTGCGTGCCCTGTTGGGTTGGATCAAATGCGTGTTAGATCCCCGCCATGGATGGGTGGATGGATGGATGGATGGGATTGATAGTATCAACTGCCTATACCTTGATAGCACCCGCTGCTGCTGTCCATACCAATTTAGTCGTTGGAAACCTGGAAGGGAGGCACAGTGCCCAGTTAGTGGTTGAGTGACCTCCTCTCCCAAGCAATCAGCGTCACAAGCCGCTGAAGCTTTGACTTTCCCGGCGCTCGTTTCTGTGACTCGACCCCACCCCCCACCTTCGACAGCACCCCGCCAGCCATTCCTCCCCCCAAGCTAAACCGGCCGAGCTTTTGCGTTCTCTCTTAAAAAGCAGCCGATCCGGCCATTTCCCTCGAGCTGTCTTTTTGTTGAGCTGCTCTCTTTTCCTCTCTTCATATCCTTTTTCTGGGCCAGTATCTTTTCCTTTTGCTTGAGCTTGAGCCGACCTGCCCACCATGGCTGGCACTCCGTCTCCTCACCCTCAGCAGGCGCTGACCTTCAACGATGTCTTCGAGGACGACGACATCGATGAGCCCAAGGAGGCGCAGACCATCCACCACATCCGCGCAAACTCCAGCATCATGCAACTGAAGAAGATTCTCGGTGAGTCGCGGCTTCAGAGGCGTCCCGCCCAAGCCAATTGGCGCGAGACAGAGCCGACAAGAGCCTGTTACTGACGTGTGCCCGCTGCGCTGAATAGTTGCCAACCGTGGTGAAATCCGTAAGTCAAACCTCAATACAATAACCCCACCATAGCTGGTCGCGTTCTTGCTAACACCCTCGCAGCCATCAGAGTACGTTGAACCAGGAAAACAACTCCGAGCCATGATTATTCCTATCCCCCCTTGTAGCGACGCATTTCAGTTGCACTAACGCGCATTTGCGCATCGCGAATAGATTTTCAGAACAGTCAGTCGTCCCTCTGTCCGCCGTTGCCGCAAGAAATGCTTACCCCTCCTCGCAGGCCCACGAACTGTCATTACACACAATCGCTGTCTTCAGGTGAATAATAGAAATCTCGATGAAATAACCTTGACGCGATCTTCAAAAACAGCAGCTGACTCTTTTTTTTTCTTCGTCAAAAGTTATGAGGACCGACTCTCCATGCACCGTCAGAGTATGAAGACCTCACCTTACATGTGCCCCGCCGCATCGCGCTGCTTGTACTGACTACTTTTTCCCAGAGGCCGATGAAGCCTACGTCATTGGCAAGCGAGGCCAGTACACCCCTGTCGGAGCTTATCTCGCTGGCGACGAGATCATCAAGATTGCTGTTGAGCACGGCGCTCAGCTGGTTCATCCTGGTTAGTTTTTCTCCCTGCGTTCTTCTTTTCTCTTTTTTGAGAGGGAATAATTCTTTATTTACATATTCCGGTGCTAATTTCATTTAGGATACGGTTTCCTGTCTGAGAACGCCGAATTCGCCCGCAACGTCGAGAAGGCTGGTCTGATTGTAAGTCTTTACAACCTCTTCTAGCAATGTTTTTTTTAAAGGAAAAAAAAAAAAAAAAAAAAAAAAAAAAAAAAAAAAATTCCAGCTAACATTGATGCCCACTGTAGTTCGTTGGCCCTACTGCCGATGTCATT